GCGCCACCACACTCCAGCCTGGGCAACAAGAACGAAACTCCATCTCAAAGAAGAAGAAAACAACAACAAATACCATCATCCCCTCAGTGTCCACAGAGGATTGGTTCCAGGACCCCCTTCAGACACCAAAAATCTGATACCAAAACCCTCAAATCACTTATATGTAAAATGGCACAGTGTTTGCATATAGCCTACATACATCCTCCTATATAGTTTAAATCATTTCTATATTACTTATAACACTTCATGCAATGTAAATATATAAACAGTTGTTATACTGCATTTTAATTTGTATTTTTGGTTGTATCATTTTTTATTTATTTTTTCATCTGTAGTTGGCTGGGTCCACAGATGTGGCACCTGTGAATAGGGAGGGACAATTGTAATTATAAAGTAGTACCCATATTACTCCCCTTGGGGCACGAAATACAAGCACCCACTCCTTTCTTGTAGAGCAGCAATTGTCAACCCTGGCCCTGGATTAGAATCCCCCCCAATCCCTCAGGAAGCTTAAGTCCCCAATTCTGCACCCCCAAAGATTCTGGCTTAATTGGCCTGGGGTGGATACCCTGGCACTGATCTTTTAAAAAACTACTTGAAGGGGTTCTACTGTTCAGTCTAGGTCGGAAATGAATCCCCTGGTTTGGGAGAATTACTTTGTTTTCAAGTTGACTGCATACATATGCATCCCTAACCAATGTATTTCATTTTTTTTTTTTTCTTTTTGAGACGGAGTCTCGCTCTGCCGCCCAGGCTGGAGTGCAGTGGCCGGATCTCAGCTCACTGCAAGCTCCGCCTCCCGGGTTTACGCCATTCTCCTGCCTCAGCCTCCCAAGTAGCTGAGACTACAGGCGCCCGCCACCTTGCCCGGCTAGTTTTTTTTTTATTTTTTAGTAGAGATGGGGTTTCACCGGGTTAGCCAGGATGGTCTTGATCTCCTGACCTCGTGATCCGCCCGTCTCCGCCTCCCAAAGTGCTGGGATTACAGGCTTGAGCCACCGCGCCCGGCCATGTATTTCATTTTGCCTGGTTTTGAAGTTTCTGGAACCACACTGTATATACGCTTTCATGATTTGCTCTTGCTCCTAATTGTAAAGTGCATCTGTGTTGTATGGTGTATGGTTTGAATTCCATACTTGGAATAGACCAGTTTGCCCATTCTACTGTTAGTGGACAGTTAGGTCATTCGGCTGTTACCACAATGCTGCTGTGAATCTGCTTGTATGCATTTCCTGGTGCAGTTACACAAGGATTTCTGGATTAGAATGTCTGGCCTGGTGTGTTAGTTTGTTAGAGCTGCCACAACACATTTACACAGCCTGAGTGGCTTAAAATGTATTAATGTTCTTTTGGTTTAAGAGGCCAGAAGTCCTAGCACCACCTCACTCTTGAAGTCTTGGGGGTTAGAATCCTTTCCAGATTATCGGATGGCTCCAGGTGTCCCTTGGCTTGTGGCTGCATCACATCAGTATCTGTTTCCATTTTCTTTCTTCTTTTTTTTTTTTTTTTTTGAGATGGAGTCTTGCTTTGTGGCCCAGGCTGGAGTGCAGTGGTATGATCTCAGTTCACTGCAACCTCCGCCTTCCGGGTTTAAGTGATTCCCCTGCCTCAACCTCCCTAGTAGCTGGGACTACAGACGTGTGTCACCACGCCCAGCTAATTTTTGTATTTTTAGGAGAGACGGGTGTTTCACTATGTTGGCCAGGCTGGTCTTGAACTCCTGACCTCAGGTGATCCACCTGCCTCAGCCTCCCAAAGTGCTGGGATTACAGGAGTGAGCCACCGTGCCCAGGCTTTTTTTTTTTTTCTTTTTTAATTTTTTTTTTTTTTTTTTTTTTGAGACGGAGTCTCGCTCTGCCGCCCAGGCTGGAGTGCAGTGGCCGGATCTCAGCTCACTGCAAGCTCCGCCTCCCGGGTTCACACCATTCTCCTGCCTCAGCCTCCCGAGTAGCTGGGACTACAGGCGCCCGCCACCTCGCCCGGCTAGTTTTTTTGTATTTTTTAGTAGAGACGGGGTTTCACCGTGTTAGCCAGGATGGTCTTGATCTCCTGACCTCGTGATCCGCCCGTCTCGGCCTCCCAAAGTGCTGGGATTACAGGCTTGAGCCACCGCGCCCGGCCTCTTTTTTAATTTTTATTTTTTGAGACAGTCTCGCTCTTGTCACTAGGCTGGAGTGCAAGCAGCATGATCTCGGCCCACTGCAACCTCTGCCTGCCAGGTTCAAGCGATTCTCATGCCTCAGCCTCCTAAGTAGCTGGGATTACAGGTGTATGCCACCAGATCTGACTAATTTTTGTATTTTTAATAGAGATGGGGTTTCACCATATTGGCCAGGCTGGTCTTAAACTCCTGACCTCAAGAGATCCACCCACCTTGGCCTCCGAAAGTACTGGGATTACAGACCTGAGTCACCGTACCCGGCTTGCTTCCATCTTCACGTGGCTTTCTCCTCATGTCTCTCTGCTCTTCTGGGTTTTTTGTTTTTGTTTTTGGAGACAGGGTCTCATTCTGTCACCCAGGCTGATGTGCAGTTGTGCAAGCATAGCTTACTGCAGCCTCAAACTCCTGGGCTCAAGCTGTCCTCCCACCTGTGCTGAGTAGCCGGGACTACAAGCACACACACTGCACCCTGGTAATCCTTTTAAAAATTGTAAACTGGGCGCAGTGGCTCACACCTGTAATCCCAGCACTTTGGGAGGCTGAAGTGGGCGGATCCCAAGGACAGCAGTTCAAGACTAGGCTGGCCAACATGGTGAAACCCCGTCTCTACTAAAAGTACAAAAATTAGTTGGGTGTGGCGGTGCGTGCCTGTAGTTCCAGCTACTCAGGAGGCTGAGACAGTGAACCCGGGAGGTGGAGGTTGCAGTGAGCCAAGATTGCACCACTGCACTCCAGCCTGGGCAACCAAACAAGACTCCATCTCAAAAAAAAAAAAAAAATTGTTGAGATGGCGGCTGGCCTCAGTGGCTCACACCTGTAATCCGAGCACTTTGGGAGGCTAAGGTGGGTGGATCACTTGAGCCCAGGATTTCAAGACCAGCCTGGGCAACATGGCAAAACCCTGTCTCTACAAAATATGCAAAAAAAAAAAAAAAAAATAGCCAGGTGTGGTGGCACGTACCTGTAGTCCCAGCTACTTGGGAGGCTGAGGTGGAAGGATCATCTGAGCTCAGGAGGTGAATATTGTAGTGAGCCAAGATGTTGCCACTGCACTCCAGCCTGGGTGAAAGAGTGAAACCTTGTCACACACACACACCCAAAAAACAACTGAGTTGGGGTCTTGTTATGTTGACTAGGCTGGTCTTGAACTCCTGGCCTCAAGCAATTCACCTGTCTTGGCACCCCCCCATCCAATGTGCTGGGATTACAGGCATGAGCCACTGCACCCAGCCTTCTTACTCTATTTTTATATATATATATATATATATTTTTTTTTTTTTTTTTGAGACAGAGTCTCGCTCTGTTGCCCAGGCTGGAGTGCAGTGGTGTGATCGCGGCTCACTGCAAGCTCCGCCTCCCGGGTTCATACCATTCTCCTGCCTCAGCCTCCTGAGTAGCTGGGACTACAGGCGCCTGCCACCACACCTGGCTAATTTTTTTTGTATTTTTAGTAGAGACAGGGTTTCACCGAGTTAGCCAGGATGGTCTCGATCTCCTGACCTTGTGATCCGCTTGCCTCAGCCTCCCAAAATGCTGGGATTACAGGCATGAGCCACTGCGCCCGGCCTCTATTATATTTTTTAAAGCAGGGTCTCAGTACGTTGCCCAGGCAGGCTACCCTCCAACTCCTGGCCTCAAGCAATCCTCCCGCCTCAGCCTCCTTATCATTTTTTTTTTTTTTTTTTTTTTGAGACAGAGTCTCACTCTGTTGCCCAGGCTGGAGTGAAGCGGCACGATCTCAGCTCACTGCAACCCCACCTCCGGGGTTCAAGTGATTCTCCTCCCTCAACCTCCCGAGTAGCTGGGATTACAGGCACATGTCGCCATGCCCGGCTAATTTTTGTATTTTTAGTAGAGACAGGGTTTCGCCATGTTGGCCAGGCTGGTCTCAAACTCCTGACCTTGGGTGATCCACCTACATCAGCCCTCCTGAAATGCTAGAATTACAGGAGTGAGCCACTGGCCTTTATCCTTTCTTATGAAGACACTTGTCATTGAATGTAGGCACCACACTGGTCATTGGGATTATCTCATTTAAGATCTTAAACTTATTTACATCTGCAAAGACTTTTTTTTTGGATAGAGGGTTTCACTATGTTCCCAGGCTCAGAGTACAGTGGCATGATCACAGCTCACCACAGTTTTGATCTTCCCGGGCTCAGGTAATCCTCCCACCTAAGCTTCCCAAGTAGCTAGGACTACAGGTGTGTGCCACCACACCCGGCTAGTTTTCTGTAGAAACGGTTTCACCATGTTGCCCAGACTGGTCTTGAACTTGTGGGCTCAAATGATCTCCTGCCTTGCCCTCTCAAAGTGCTGGGATAACAGGCATGAGTGACCATACCCAGCTACAAAGACTCTTTTCCTACATAAGGTCACATTCACGGGGTCCAGGTAGACATCTCTTTTCAGGGACCACAGTTCAACCCACTACAACTAAGCAGTGCCACACTTTTCTTCAGGTAGGTGTGGCTTATTGGATATTTCTTTTTTTTTTTTTTTTTTTTTTTTTTGAGACGGAGTCTCGCTCTGTCGCCCAGACTGGAGTGCAGTGGCGCGATCTCGGCTCACTGCAAGCTCTACCTCCCGGGTTCACGCCATTCTCCCGCCTCAGCCTCCGAGTAGCTGGGACTACAGGCGCCCGCCACCACGCCCGGCTAGTTTTTTGTATTTTTTTTAGTAGAGACGGGGTTTCACCATGTTAGCCAGGATGGTCTCGATCTCCTGACCTCGTGATCCACCCGCCTCGGCCTCCCAAAGTGCTGGGATTACAGGCTTGAGCCACCGCGCCCGGCCTGGATATTTCATTTTTAGGTGACCTTGGCCCCTTGCTGAAGAAGGGATAGACCCACTCCCTCTGCAGAAGGGCTGAGGTTTAGGCAAGGTCAACTCTTTCCCCGTCTCATGACATTAACACTCCTATGCCCATTAGGTGTCATTCTGCTAGCCCGGCTTGTTCTCTGGTGTTGGGGGGCTCTCCGTGGTCGGCAGTTCTGGCAATACGTCCCTGAGTCTACTCACTGCCACATGATCTTGGGCAAGCCATGCCTCCTCTTTCAGACTCAGTTTCTTCATCTGTAAAGTGAAGGCTCACGCTCCCCACCTCTGGATTGGAGATGCTGGGGGAGTCCCTAAATAGGAAGCCCCACGTCTGTCCTTAGGTGAGAATTCTGGGCCTCGCTGCATGGCGGAGCTGCTGATGGCCTCAGGCTCTTGCTGTGGACCCTGAGGTACATGGCCTCGCCCCACCCACTCTTGACCCTCCAACAGCAATGGAGCCAAGCCCCAAATACTTCACTTGTTTCTTTTTATTTGGTGTTGGATCCAGGACAAGGGCAGTGGGGAATCGAAGCAGGGGCTTCCCTAGCTTCATACCCCCAGGCCCCTGTGCCTCTGGAATGTACCAACAAGGGGCAGGGGTTTCAGGGGGCTCAGCCTCTTCATGGGGCACGCCTCAGCCCTGGGTTTGTCGCAGTTTGGCCTTGAACTTGCCTTTGTCCTTGACCTTCCTACGGGTGCTAGGAATTGTTCCGACTTCAAAGGGCAGAGGCAACAAGGCACTTCCAGCTGGGGGCCTCGGGGGCAGAAGAGAGCAGGAGCCTCAGTGTGAAAGGAGGGGAGAAGAGGGAGACGGTCAGAAGTCTGTTGAGAAAGGGGCTTCTGAGGGAGACAAGCTCTTCCCTTGGGGTGCCAGCCAGCCTGGGAGCTGCCGTCTGCCTGTGCCCTCCAGCCCTGACCCCATGCTCAGCACGGTCCACTGGGTGTGAGCCACAGGTCGAGGCCCACCTTTCTTGGCTTCAGGATGCTGGGTGCCACCTTGAAATCAAGGTTAGGTGGGAGGGAAATGAAGACCTTGGCCGTGGGTAGAGTCATCAAGGCCTTGCCTGTGGTCGACAGGGCCTTAGTGCCCACCAGCTTGCTGTGCTGTCGTCTGAGGATCTGGCCTTGGTGTCGGAGTACATGGGGAGAAGGCAGCTGGGCCTTGGTGTGGAGGCTGGGGAAGTGGTGAGGGGCTGTGGGAGCAAGAGAAGCTGTGAGGGCCTAGGGGGTCCCAAGGTGGCCTAGCTGCCCTAAAAGGTGTGTGTGGAGGATGGGGGGATGTGGAGGGGGCGGGGTAAAGGCAGATGGAGCCCTCCGGGTTCCTCCTCCAGAGGCAGTGAGAAGAAAACAGGGTAGAGTCCAACAGACCTGGGTCTGCATCCCAGCTGTGCCCCTTCTGAGCTGTGCAACCTTGGGCAACTTCTTTAAACTTCCTGATATCTTGGCTGGAAAATGGGGATAATAGCACCTACCTTGCTAGGCTGGTGTAGGCACTAAAGGAGCTGGGCAGGTAGTGGCATGGGGCACACTGTTAAGTGCTGGACACATGTTAGTTATTTTCCCCAGAGGTGACTGCTTGAAGGCAAAGGCAGAATACTGCAGTGGGAAAAGCGTGGGCGCTGGAGAGAACAACCTGGGCTTAAGTTCTGGCATCTTTGAAATAAGGTCGTCTTTGAAATAAATCACTCTGCCTCGCAGAGTCACTACTTTGGAGGAGACAATACTTATTTGGCCGGGTTTTTTTTGGTTTTTTTTGACAGAGTTTTGCTCTTGTTGCCCAGGCTGGAGTACAATGGTGCAATCTCAACTCACTGCAACCTCCGCTTCCCGGGTTCAAGCGATTTTCATGCCTCAGCCTCCCAAGTAGCTGGGATTATAGGCACCTGTCACCACACCTGGCTAATTTTTGTATTTTTTAGTAGAGTAGAGATGGGGTTTCACCATGTTGGCGAGGCTGGTCTCAAACTCCTAACCTCAAGTGATCTGCCCGCCTCGGCCTCCCAAAGTGCTTTTTTTGTTTGTTTTTAAGACAGCATCTCGCTCTGTCTCCCAGGCTGGAGTGCAGAGGTGCAATCATAACTCACTGCAGCCTTGACCTCCCGGGCTCAAGCCATCCTCATTAGCCTCGCGAGTAGCTGGGACCACAGGCTCGCGCCACCATGCCCAGCTAATTTGGCTGTGTATTTTTAAAGAATACTTTGTGAGTAGTGGCTTTTACTTGCTACTGGTGGCTCTTTGGTGGGGTGGCTGATCCAGGTGGTTAGGAGGGGCCTGGAGAGCAGGAATAAATCGCCTTGGGACACTTGGGTGTTTTGGGCAAATGGTCTTACCCAGGGCCTGGGGGTTCTTCGGACTCAACGGCAATCTGTTCAAGTGGTGGGGTTGCCTGTCCCCACTAGAAAAGGTCATAGTGAAAATGCAGCCTATCCTGGTGCTGGGGGCGTCCCACTCTGGGAGATTGGGGCAGACCAGGGCTGTGGCACTTTTCGCCTTGCCTTTCTTCCCCTTTCCGAGGGCTGAAGTGGTGGCAGTGGAGACTGGCTTCTCACTGTGCCCCAGGCTCCTGGCCCCAGCACCTTTCCTAGAAGCTGACCTGTGGATAGGGGTCCCCAAGTCCTTGCCTTCCCTAGAGCCTCGCTGGGTCAGCAGAGGGACTGCTGGGCGGACCCCCATCCGCCGATGACACATCGCCATGGGCTTCTTGATGGTGGAGCCCTCTACCAGGAGCCGGATGCCCACATACTGGGGCACCTCCACAGCAGGCTGTGGGCAAGAAGAGGAGACAAGGCCCACTCAGTCAGTGGTAGTGGAATCCTTGGCCCAGCGGGACCCAGGGTAGAGATGGGTGGAATTACTTTCTGAGGCATCCGGTCAAAGAGACATTTCTGAGCTGAGAAATGGAAAGCCCACCTCTGAGTCAGTACCTAGAGTCACAGAGCTCCAGGAATTGCTAGCCCAGAGGAATGGGGGAATCCCAGCCATGTCCCACCAGCACCCCTCAGCCACATTTCCCTCCTAAGCTGCCCCCAGCCCCTGCTGGAATGTGTGTGGCTCCACTGCACAGGCTACTGCAGGTGGACAGCTTCCTGAGCTCAGCCAATCAGATTCTCTGCACAGGGAGTTTGAGTTACGCCACCCAGACAGGTAAGAGGCTTGGAGCCTCCCTAGAGCCTCGTGTGAACCCAGGTTTTGGGGGAGCAGAAATTAAGAACCTTAAAGAAGACAGTCTGTGGAGAGAATGAATTAGCGAATACGCAGAGGAAGGCAGAGAGAAGGGTCCAAGGAGAGGGACTCCCTTACAACTCTCAGTTCCTATCAGGCCAAGCTGTGTGTCCTGCCCTCAGCTGGGCTCCAGGAGAGCTCCCTGTGCCTCGCCAGCAACCTGGAGTCAATTGGAGGTATCTTCTGTGCCACTGAAGGATCCTGATCAGAATCTATCTAAACATCAGAATTACTTGGAACTTGTTAAAAATACAGCTATCCGCCGGGCACGGTGGTCACACCTGTAATCCCAGCACTTTGGGAGGCTAAGGCTGGCAGATCACTTGAGGTCAAGAATTCGAGACCAGCCTGGCTAACATGGCAAAACCCTGTCTCTACTAAAAATACAAAAAAATTAGCAGGTCATGGTGGCAGGCACCTGTAATCCCAGCTACTTGGGAGGCTGAGGCAGGAGAATTGCTTGAATGCAGGAGGCGGAGGTTGCACTGAGCCGAGATCGCGCCATTGCACTCCAGCCTGGGTGATAAGAGCGAAACTCCGTCTCAAATAAATTAATAAATAAATAAATAAATAAATAAATACAGCTATTGCCGGGCATGGTGGCTCATGCCTGTAATCCTAGCACTTTGGGAGGCTGAGGCAGGTGAATATCTGAGGTCAGGAGTTGGAGACCAGCCTGGCCAACATGGCAAAACCCCGTCTCTACTAAAAACACAAAAATTAGCCAGCCATGGTGGGCACCTGTAATCCCAGCTACTTGGGATCTAAGAAGGAGAATCACTTGATTCCAGGAGGCGGAGGTTGCAGCGAGCCGAGATAGCACCACTGCACTCCAGCCTGGGTGGCAGAGCAAGACTCTGTCTCAAAAAAAAAGAAAAATTTAAAAAAAATTCTTTTTAATCAAATAAAAATATAGCTATCAGCACTCCCGAGTGGCCCCAAATGATGAGGGAAAGCTCATCTTTAAAGAAGAATCTCAGCTAATAAATGCAGAAGGAACAACAGAATTAGACATTTGCCATTTTGCAACTCTAATAAAATAGGCAATAATCAAAACTGGTATCAAAACAATTAGATGAATGGATGACAGGAAAATGACAGTCATCTGGACAGAGCCAACACAACACCTTACAAAAAAATTAATTGCAAAGGGGAGATGTAGCTTATAATGGAGAGATCTCGTAACCACCGCTGTAACCCACAGTCAAACTCAGCAGCACTAACTGTGAGACACTGTCAAAGGATGTGCCTTGTGATGCCACATGAGGTACCCAACATCACCTCTGAAGTGCTCTTGGCAAAAATGTTTAACCTGAACCTCATCAAGCTGTCTGACCTAACTTCTAGTTCCTGAGACAATCAGCTAACAAAAGACCAAGGTAAATAACACCATAAGGAAACAATCAGATAAATCCAGAATGTGGGACAGTTCTACAAAACAACCGGCCTGGCCCCTCAAAAGATCAAAACTGTGGTGTCAAAAGGCACTGGGGCTGGCCTAGATGAAAAGAGACAAAAAACCAGTGCAAGGTGTGAGCCTTCACTATGTGCTGGCCTAAAAACAAGAACAAATCAGCAATAAAAGACATTTAGAGGGCTTGGCGCGGTGGCTCATGCCTGTAATCCTAGCACTTTGGGAGGCCGAGACGGGTGAATCACGAAGTCAGGAGATCGAGACCATTATGGCTAACACGGTGAAACCTTGTCTCTACTAAAATACAAAAAGTTAGCCAGGCATGGTGGCGGGCGCCTGTAGTCCCAGCTACTCAGTGGGGTGGAGGCAGGAGAATCGCTTGAACCTGGGAGGCGGAGGATGCAGTGAGCCGAGATGGTGCCACTGCACTCCAGCCTGCATGATAAAGCGACTCTGTCTCAAAAAAAAAAAAAAAAAAAAAAAAAAAAAGATGTTTGGGGGAAATTTGAAAAATGCAGATGCGTAGTCACCTCCCCAAGCTAGACATCTTGGGTCAATCTCTGGGGGTGGAGCCTCCTGACATCCATACCTTTAGAAGCTTTCACATGCTTCTGGCCTGGGCACTGGCATTGGGAGCACTGCACTACAATGGCACCTTTTCCCTCAGCTTGCTCATATTTTCCTGCCCATGTATTTCCCCATTTACATTTTTTGAAACCAAAACGCCAATATATTAATTTAAGAAACGATCGGGGCCGGGCGTGGTGGCACACGCCTGTAATCCCAGCACTTTGGGAGGCCAAGGTGGGCGGATCATGAGGTCAGGAGATCAAAACCATCCTGGCTAACACAGTGAAACCCTGTCTCTACTAAAAATACAAAAAATTAGCCGGGCGTGCTGGCGGGCGCCTGTAGTCCCAGCTACTTGGGAGGCTGAGGCAGGAAAATGGCATGAACCCGGGAGGCGGAGCTTGCAGTGAGCCAAGATCGCGCCACCGCACTCCAGCCTGGGCAACAGAGCAAGACTCTTATCTTGAAAAAAAAAAGAAATGATCAATAACTGTAATAAAGACGAGGTCACTTAGGTCACGTGATCGGTATGCTCTCTTCCTGTAACCAAACCTTGACAGAAGCCGAATGCTAATCAGAAGCCACTTAAACTGCCACAAGAAATTCTATCCAGAGCTCAGAAAGCTTTGCAATCAATTTTCTGACTGATTTTTTAAAATGCTGTTCTATTTTACAAGTAGACTCCAATCTCTCTTTGAAGCAAGATGAGTGAAATAATTATAATACTAATAATAATAGTAGCTACCAGTAATTGCCTATTACTATACATTCAGGCACTTTACAGGTTATACATGATGAAACTCCTAACCTTATTAGGTAATAACATTAGCTAAAACTTAGTAGCATTTACTATGTGCCAGGCACTATTCTAAAGTACTTTACTGGCTGGGCACGGTGGCTCCTGCTGTAATCCCAGCACTTTGGGAGGCTGAGGTGGGCGGATCACCTGAGGTCAGGAGTTTGAGACCAGCCTGGCCAACATGGAGAAACCCTGTATCTACTAAAAATACAAAAATTAGACAGGCGTTGTGGTGGGCACCTGTAATCCCAGCTACTTGGGAGGCTGAGGCAGGAGAATCGCTTGAACCCAGGAGGTGGAGGTTGCAGTGAGCCAAGATCATGCCACTGCACTCCAGCCTGGGCAAAAGAGCGAGACTCGGTCTCAAAAATAAATAAATGAAAATGAAGTACTTTACTTATCAACTCATTTAATTCTCACAACTCATAGTACCTAACTTTGTGAGTTAGGTACTATTTTTATTCTTACAGATGAGGAGACCTAGGGGTTAGGAACTTGTCCAAAGTCACACAGCTTGTTGTCACTGAACAGTAATTTGAAACCAAGGAGACGGCCGGGCGTGGTGGCTCAAGCCTGTAATCCCAGCACTTTGGGAGGCCGAAACTGGCGGATCACAAGGTCAGGAGTTCGAGACCATCCTGGCTAACCCGGTGAAACCCCGTCTCTACTAAAAAATACAAAAAAAAAAAAAAAAACTAGCCAGGCGCAGTGGCGGGCGCCTGTAGTCCCAGCTACTCGGGAGGCTGAGGCAGGAGAATGGCGTGAACCCAGGAGGCGGAGCTTGCAGTGAGCCAAACTTGGGCCACTGCACTCCAGCCTGGGAGATAGAGCGAGACTCCATCTCAAAAAAAAAGAAGAAACCAAGGAGATTCCAGAATCTCTGCTCTTACGACTATGCTATATGCCTCTCTAGAAATATTATCCCCATACACTAATTCATTTTATTCTCCCATTCCCATGAGAAAGTTGGTAATAATATCCCCATTTCAAAGATCAGGAGACTGAGGCTCAAGGAGGCGAGGTCACCTTAGCAGGACCAGGACTTGAATCTGGGTCTTAAACTGGGTCTGACTGCAGAGTCCTATGCTCCACTATGGGGCTGCCTGGAAGAGGGTGCAGACTCTCTGGGGTCCTGCCTGGGCCCAACCTCCTCACCTGCTTATAGATGAGCTCAAAGGCTCCTGTGTCACAGTTGCGGTCCAGCCGCCGGTCAATGACCACGCGCAGGGTGTCAGCTTGCACGCCAGCACAGAGCCGGGCTGTGACTGCCGTGGAGGGCGCCATGGTGGGGCTGGCGTTGATCTCAATCAGCCAGGGCTGGAAGTCCTCCCCGAACACAAAGTCAGCACCATAGAGCTCAAAGCTGGCCTTCCGACACTGCACAGTGTCCTGGGAGGTCTGAAGTGCGTGGATTACAGCATCCTTCATGCCAGGCACGATGATGGTGGACCAAGCATTTGGGGCCCCCATCTCCTGCAGGTGGGCCTGGAACCTCTGGCTGGACCACATGTTGTCTGGGGGAAGCAGTGGATGCCGATGGCATGAGTTCTCCAGGTGCTTCTGGATGGAGTTGTTACACAGGTGCACTGAGCTGGGGCAGAGAGCAGAAAACTGAAGTCCAGGCCCTTGTGTCTCTCCCATCCAAGTTCAGGGAGGACAGGCAAGTCCTGGAACCAGCCCTGGGCCACCCTGCACTATTCAACTGGAGATGGGGCCCTACTGGGAAGGACAAAAAGGACAGAGGCCTGGGCCCCACCACATTCCTTTAGGGCCAGAACTACTGTTATCTCTCAGGGCTGCTCTGAGAGCGCTAATTATGGGGGCCACAGTACTAAGTGCTTTGTGCATAGTCTCAGTTAACCATCTCAGTGTTTGGAAGATAAGAGGGTGGGTAAGGGTATGGCCCCGTCATCACCAGGACGCGGTCAAGTGCCATCTCCACACTAGTTGTGAGACCTTAGGCAAGTCGTCTAACCTGCGTGCTCTTCACATCTGCAAAATGAGGGTAGTAACAGTACCCACTTCACTGTTTTTTATTTTTTCCTCAGACCTGGTGAACAGGAAGTATTCACTGGGTTCTTATGAAGAATAAGATAATGGATACAAAGTGCTTAGCACTATCACATATGAAGCACTCAATAATTGATAGCTATGAATTTCATACTACTGCCTCCATTCTTCAGATGTGGAAACCAAGGCTTAAATAGGTTTTCACATGACCAGAGTCAAACAACTTGGAAGCTGCAGAGACAGAATTTGAATTCAGGCTTCAACAAGGCTTTCTCTCACCCCAGAACTTAACACGACATCTTGGTTTTCAAAACTTCTGACCTCCTTTCCCCTGCTCTACATTTGCTTCCCTTTTTCCCCCAATGACAAATATAATCTTTTTTTTTTTTTTGAGACAGAGTCTTGCTCTGTTGCCCAGGTTGGAGTGCAGTCGCACGATCTCAGTTCACTGCAACCTCCACCTCCCAGGTTCAAGCAATTCTCCTGTCTCAGCCTCCCGAGTAGCTGGGACTACAGGTGCCCGCCAACACACCCAGCTAATTTTTATATTTTTAGTAGAGACGGGGTTTCACCATATTGGTCAGGCTGGTCTCGAACTCCTGACCTCAGGTGATCTGCCTGCCTCAGCCTCCCAAAGTGCTGGGATTACAGGTGTGAGCCACTGCGCCTGGCCCAAATAATCTTTGAACCTGTTAGATAATTTCACTTGTGTTCATTGCTTGTCTGTTTCTCCCTGCTAGAATGTAAGCCCTTGAGAGCCAGGATCTTGTTTTGTTCACTGCTATACCCCAAGTGCCCAGAACAGTGCATGGCATAAGGTACACACTTGATCAAATCTGTTGGAGGGGCCAGGCACAATGTAATCCCAGCACTTTAGGAAGCCAAGGTGGGACGATCGCTTGAGCCCAGGAGTTTGAGACCAGCCTGGGCAACATAGTGAGACCCCATGTCTACATAAAAGAATTCAAAAATCAGCTGTGGTACATGCCTGTGGTCTCAGATACTTGGGAGGCTGAGGAGGAAGGATTGCTTGAGCACAGAAAGTCAAGGCTACAGTGAGCCGTGACCATGCCACTGCACTCCAGCCTAGGCAACAGAGTGAGACCACCCCCCGTCAAAAAAAATAAAAATAAAAAATCTGTTGGATGCAAGGACAGCTGGCTGGATGAGAGCCCGCCTGCCTGCAGTCTGTGCATGGAGCCTAGCGCTGCTGCGCGAGTCCCCTGCACTGTAATTGCCTGTTTGCTTGCCAGTTCCCCAACTAGGCAGGGAGCTTGTGGGAGGCGAACAGAGGGGCTCACTTGTCCAGGTTCTTCAGGGAGAAGGGCTGTGTGGAAAAGCGGATATAGCTGTCGCGGTAGAACCACACAGTAAGTGGGTTCCAGTCAGTTACCAGGAACCACTGTCTCAGGTCAAACTTGGTGCCAAAGATGAGCAGGGGCCGCTCAATATACTTCTGCACCACCCATTTGCCGTCCTTCATCACCATGGGGTTGCCATTCACCAGCTTCAGCATCTCCTCCAGGTGGTCCATGCATATGATGCCTACGGGGGAGGAGGGCAGTCAGGGATTGAAAGGTCAGGCGTGGGCTGGGAGAAGGGCCAGCTTGTCATGAGCTCTCATCCCCTCGGAGCTGATAGGGCTGCGTGGGAAAGGTGGTCTCCCTCAACCAGAACTCAGTTCCCTTTGAGAAAGCCAGGAATTTGCTAAGGATTTTAAATTTTTCCTAATTAACCAGTTTTGTTTGATTAAATAGGAATATATACATGGCTACAAATTTAAAGTGCTGGGCTTTTTTTTTTTTTTTTTTTTTTTGAGACGGAGTCTTGCTCTGTCACCCAGGCTGGAGTGCAGTGGCGAGATCTCAGCTCAGTGCAAGCTCCACCTCCCGGGTTTACGCCATTCTCCTGCCTCAGCCTCCCGAGTAACTGGGACTACAGGCGCCCACCACCACACCCGGCTAGTTTTTTGTGTGTTTTTTTAGTAGAGACGGGGTTTCACCGTGTTAGCCAGGATGGTCTCGATCTCCTGACCTCGTGATCCACCCGTTTCGGCCTCCCAAAGTGCTGGGATTACAGGCTTGAGCCACCGCGCCTGGCCTTTTATTTTTTTTTTTTTTTTTTGAGACAGTCCTGTCGCCTAGGCTGGAGTGCAGTGGCACGAGCCCGGCTCACTGCAACCTCCGCCTCCCAGGTTCAAGCGATTCTCCTGCCTCAGTCTCCTGAGTAGCTGGGATTGCAGGTGCCTGCCACCACGTGTGGCCAATTTTTGTATTTTTAGTAGAGACAGGGTTTCACCATGTTGGCCAGGCTGGTCTCCAACTCCTGACCTCAAGTGATCCACCCGCCTCGGCCTCCCAAAGTGCCGGGATTACAAGCGTGAGCCACCGCGCCCGGCCAGTGTTGGGCTTTTTAAAAGTATGTGCACCTATTACTTTCCTACCAATAATAAATAGACTATAAAACAAAACAAAAATTAGACAGTACAAAAGGGCAGACAATAAAAATTACATCTCCTTGTCCAGGGGCAGCCAACTGCTGCTTCCAGGTCCTTATGGATATCCTTCCGGATCATGTGAGAGCCTACACATGCCTTAGTTTCCCAGGATTGTATAAATTAAAGCATGTTAAGGATTTGGAATCATGCTTTAGATGCATGACTGCATTTAATCCTCACCTCACAGGAGGTATTATCATCCTCCTCATTTCACAGATGAGGGAACTGGGGTTCAGGGAGGTGATAAAACCTGCTCAAGGTCACGAAGAATATCAGTAGCAGAGCTAGGACTCAAACCCAGGCAATCTGGCTTCAATAGACCTACACTATTAACTTCCTTGGCCTTTACTGGGAGATGGGAGGTGCCAAGGCAGGAAGTAGGAGCTGACCCCCACCTCGTCCGCGGGACTTGGCTCCCGGCTTCACAATCCAGATGTTGCGATCCCCTTCCATGTCTATCTGGGGTACCACGGCCCGCAGCTGCTGCAGGATGTCCTCACAGCGCTGGACCTGAGTGTCGAGGTGCCTGAGTTCTGCCCCTTCGCTGTGGGGAAATGATGGAACTTGGGCAGGGCTGGACCTGGGACATGTGGGCGGAGAGGGCAAGGGGAGATATATTCCACCACCCCCCACTGTCTTCCAGGCAGCCTCGGTCACGCCCTCCCTGCAGATATCCATAGGTCCCGCCCAAGCCTCCGGCCCCACCTTCAAGCCACCCCTGAAATCCTAACCTCCCCAGACTACAGGAAAGGGAAAGGTTGATAAAATTCCATTAACTGCAAACCACCCCCTACTCCAGCACTCCACCTGTGCCACTCCCCTTCCTATTACATTAAAACTGTCTTTGACAGAATTTAATCTTTCCAGTTCCTAATGATAAAGCACCACTATGTGCCAGGCACTGTGACAAGGGCTTTCCATATATTTTCACTAATCCCCTCAAGGCCCTGCCAGGGAAGTATTACTGATACCCCACCCCCTGCCCCCCAACTTTTTTTTTGTTTTGTTTTTTGGAGACAGGGTCTTGGTCTGTCACCCAGGCTGAAGTGCAGTGGTGAAACCATGGCTCACTGCAGCCAGGAACTCCTAGGTCCAAGTTTCAGCCTCCCAAGTAGTTGGAATTACAGGCATATGCCACCACATCCAAGCTAATTTTTATTTTTGGCAGAGATGGGTCTTATTATGTTACCCAGGCTGGTCTTGAATTCCTGGCCTCAGGCGATCCTCCTGCTCAGCCTCCCAAAGTGCTGGGATTGTAGGCATGAGATACCACACCCAGCACTGGTCCCATTTTAGAGAAATGTAAACTGGGCCAGGCACGGTGGCTCATGCCTGTAATCCCAGCACTTTGGGAGGCGGAGGCAGGCGGATCACCTGAGGTCAGAAGTTCGAGAACAGCCTGGCCAACATGGCAAAACCATGTCTCTACTAAAAATACAAAAATTAGCCAGGCATGGTGGCAGGTGCCTGTAATCCCAGCTACTTGGGAGACTGAGGCAGGACAATCACTTGAACCAGGGAGGCAGAGGTTATAGTGAGCCAAGATCCCGCCACTGCACTCCAGCCTGGGCGGGTGACAGAGCAAGACTCGGTCTCAAAAAAATAAAATAAAATAAAATTAAATTAAATTAAAATAAAATAAAAAGTAAACTGGGCCGGGCACAGTGGCTCATGCTTGTAATCCCAGCGCTTTAGGAGGACGAGGTGGGCGGATCACGAGGTCAAGAGATCGAGACCATCCTGGCCAACATGTGAAACTCTGTCTCTCCTAAAAATACAAAAATTAGCCAGGCGTGGTGGTGGGCACCTGTAATCCCAGCTACTCATTAGGCTGAGGCAGGAGAATCGCTTCAACCCAGGAGGCAGAGGTTGCAATGAGCCGAGATCACACCATTGCACTCCAGCCTGGGCAACAGAGCGAGACTCCATCTCAAAAAAAAAAAAAAAAAGTAAACTGAAGCTTTGAGAGTTAAGGGACTTACCCAAGGCCATACACTGAAAGCTGAGTGGTACAGCCAGGATTCAAACTCTGTCCTGTCTGATTCCTCCATGCATAGGTGCTTTTTGGGGTTCATTCCTCTCTTAATCTGCGCCTAATATTGGCTGATACAATGTTAGCCTAATTCCTTTCAAGCACATCTATATCACACCTCTTCTTGCTTTTCTCCCCATCATTTACCCCCACCTGACACATCTGCTTATTTGGTTATTGTCTGAATCCCCTAACTAGAATGTAAACTCTGTAAGAGCAGTAACATTTTTTGTAGTTGTTCTCTGCTGTAATCCCCATCCCCAAGCACCACACCTGGCACTCAGCAGGTACTCCCTAAAAGTTTGCTCAGTGAATTAACGGATGGCTCAGCAAGTACTTTGGTAGGAGCCTGCCTCAGCAACTGGGCTGCACAGACAGGGTTTCATGGACAAAGAGTGACTCTGTTCTCTACAGGACAGAAAATGTCCTGAACTAAACCAAGTCACAAAATACACCAGATGGCTACCTCATCCAGACTCTCCCATTTCTTTCCTTCTGAATGAATAGGACGGGAGCCTCCTATTCAGGGAAAGCTAACTCTGTAACACTTTAGCATCTTGAATGTCTCCAGTCATGGAGAACTTTCTCTTTTTTAAGGAGGAGGCAGCAGCCATTGGGGCAGTGCCAGGAACAAGTACAGCAAGATGCAGGGGGCTAGGCAAGGTCTCCCAGCAGTACTCACACCTATGTCCTGATAAACTTTTCTGTGGTCCGTAGCATGAAGCATCTGTTCAGTAATCTGTGATGTGGCCCAGGAAAGTATCACACAGGAGTGTAATTTGAAAAAGTATATTCGACATGACAATATGATTTTATAGTTAGTGAAAAGAAAAAAAACAACAACAGTATTTTAATGAAAAGTCAACCTTGATGAAAACCTGGCTGGCTTAGTTCTTAAAATCCAGGATTCAAACAAACAAACAAACAAACAAAAAACTGGGTGGCTTTTTTTTTTTCGAGACGGAGTCTCGCTCTGTCGCCCAGGCTGGAGTGCACTGGCGCGATCTCAGCTCACTGCAAGCTCCACCTGCTGGGTTCATGCCATTCTCTTGCCTCAGCCTCCCCAGTAGTTGGGACTACAGGTGCCCACCACCACGCCTGGCTAATTTTTTTGTATTTTTAGTAGAGACGGGGTTTCACCATGTTAGCCAGGATGGTCTCGATCTCATGACCTGGGTAATCCGCCCACCTCAGCCTCCCAAAGTGCTGGGATTACAGGTGTGAACCACCGCACCTGGCCACTAATTTTTGTATTTTTACAAAAGATGGGGTTTCACCATATTGGCCAGGCTGGTCTTCAACTCCTGAACTCATGATCCACCAGCCTTGGCCTCCCAAAGTGCTGGGATTACAGGCGTGAGTCACTGCCCCGAGTGGATTTGTTTTTTAAAAAATGTTGAGAAGCATTAACAGTAAATATTGAATGAATTAGGCCAACCAAACAAACAAAAAAAAAACACAAATTTTTGTTTGTAGGCCCACCAAACAAAAATCTGCCAGGCCTGGTGGCACATACCTGTAGTCCCAGCTACTCAGGAGGCTGAAGTGGGAAAAATCACTTGAGCCTGGGAGGCAGAGGTTGTACTGAGCCAAGATTGCACCACTGCACTCCAGCCTGGGTGACAAAGTAAGACCCTGTCTCAAAAAACTAAACTAAAATAAAATATTGAAGGAATGTATGAATGCTGGTCATTTGTACTGAACCATTCAACACTGTGTATGTCTGTTATATGATGCAATATTTTATGTAATCCCGACTTTAGAGAGATTCCTATAGCCCTCCAGAACCTGCCCCCACACACCAGAAATAAAAAGGACTCGTGCTTCATGACTAATGTTCTAGGTCTCGAAAATTCTTTTTTTTTTTTTTTTTTGAGATGGAGTCTCGCTCTGTCACCCAGGCTGGAGTACAGTGGCACGATCTCGGCTCACTGCAACCTCTGCCTCCCGGATTCAAGCAATTCTCCTGTCTCAGCCTTGGCCTCCCAAAGTGCTAGGATTACAGGCATGAGCCACCGCCCCGAGTAGATTTGTTTTTTTAAAAAGTTGAGAAGCATTAACAGTAAATATTGAACGAATTAGGCTGAGTGCAGTGGCTCACACTACTCAGTGGCTCCTGAGTAGCTGGGATTACAGGCATGTGCCACCAGGCCAGTTAATTTTCGTATTTTTAGTAGAGATGGGGTTTCGCCATATTGGCCAGGCTGGTCTCCAACTCCTGACCTCAAGTGATCTGCCCGCCTCCGCCTCCCAAAGTGCTGGGATTACAGGTGTGAGCCACCACGTCTGGCTGTCTTGATAATTCTTAATTTAAGATGGGTAGCTTTACATTTTCCAGTAGCTAAAGAGAAAGTATTGGGTCACCTAAGTTATTTCCTGACATTTAGAAAAGATGCAATGAATTACTTGCTAATGACATGGATCTGCTGCTCATGTCATTCATTAGTTCTTCGGTTTCCCCTATTGAGTAATTAAATCTGTCCATTTGTTTCTGTTCTTCAGTTTCCCCTATTGAGTAATTAAATCTGTCAATTTCTTTCCATTACCACCACCCCAGCTGAGATTCCTAGCACTCCCACTTGGCTTCCTGCAGGTCTCAAACCTTGAGCTGTGTCCCGGTTGAGAACAGGGGCTACGCTTCATTTCTGGTACCTGGCACAATGCTTGGCACATTGGAGTTGCTCAAAAAATGCTTACTGTGTGTTCTGCCTTCCGGGCTGTTCTCCCTCCAGTCGCTCCTGCATGCTTCTCCTGAATGGAATCTCCCTAAAGCAGCACCAGGCTCACCTTTATCCTCCCTTCCCCCGCCTGAGAACCTTTCTCCAAAGTGTGTTCAGAAAACACTGCCCCAGGCCAGGCGCGGTGGCTCACACCTGTAATCCCAGCACTTTGGGAAGCCGAGGAGGGCGAATCACGAGGTCAGGAGATCGAGACCATCCTGGCTAACATGGTGAAACCCCGTCTCTACTAAAAATATAAAAAATTAGCTGGGCGTGGCGGCGGGCGCCTGTAGGTAGTCCCAGCTACTCGGGAGGCTGAGGCAGGAGAATGGCGTGAACCCAGGAGGCAGAGCTTGCAGTGAGCCGAGATCGTGCCACTGCACTCCAGCCTGGCGACAGAGCGAGACTCCGTCTCAAAAAAGAAAAAAAAAAAAAAAGAAAGAAAGCACTGCCCCTCAGGATGCTTGGTGGGAGGCAGGGCAGGGTGGGAGCCTACAGAGAGAGTATACAGGATACATTCTGTAGGCTTACACCACCCAGAGGTTCTGAAGAGTACTGCCCCAGGGAAGCCTCTTTAATTAACTGCTTAATCCAGTGTTTTCCAAATGTGATGGACCACAAAAGCCCTTTTTCCATAAAATCTATTTACTTCCTGGAGAATTAACATCCATACAACACACACTTTGGGCAATGTGCTGTCCATTTGGTGGCACAAGCCATGCTCTTAGAGACTATGCTATGCCAAGAACCAAGAAGAGTGGCCCAGACCCTATCATGGAGGCAGTGGGAGTCCTTGAGGGTTCCCGAGCAGAAGTACTGCAGGGTAAATGGGCGGGAGGCTTGGGGAAGGGGTGGGGGCTGCCCGAGACAGAAAGGGCCTGTCCCTAAACACCTGCCCACAGCCCAAAGTCCCAGCTGCAGGGGACTCACTGGACCACTTGGTAGTAGCGCTGGAGGAAGAGGGACCAGCCCTCGGGGGTGAGGTACAGTGGGGCCTCCAGGTCCTTGTCGATGTCCATGTGGGCCAGGTTGCTAAGGTACTCCTCGCACGCACAAAGAGCTTCATCCACAAACTCTGGGGACACCAACACTGGGTTTTTCTCCTGTTTCTTGCGCTGCTTGTCTCCTGCACATAGGGAGGGGCCTGTCACGATCCCATATCCAGGCAGGTAACCTGACACATGCCACAGCCCCCATTGTCCTGAGGCCTGTCACTTACATGCGGCCCAGCACGTACCTAGATAGATCCCTTACTGCCCTGGGATGTGTCACTTAGCTGAGGCTTTGCTCTAAATTCACTGCAACTCTAGCACTTGCTCCTGGCTCCCACTGTCCCAGGACCTGTCACTCACTTAAGACTTGGCCCTAAATGTCCCCAAGTCCTCTGACAGCACCTATAGCCTCTCTGCCCCTGGGACCTGTAAGACACCTGAGGCTCTGCCTAAAATGCACCTGGGAGCCTTGGCCTATGTGAACCCAGTTATACATGAATACCCCTCCCCCACGTCTGACACAGCTTCTTAAGTCCACACACCAGAAATCCAGACCCACTCCCAGAATCCTGACACAGAGCTACAACCCTTAGCCCACAGAAGCACTAACCTCTGTGTGCACTGTTATTGCACAAGGCCCTGACACACCTGAAAGTGATTACAGAAACTGACCCTTCAGAAGACCCCCATGCACATCCACAGACCTGACTCACCCGAACATCGCAGTGCACTGAAGACCCTGATATACAGCTGAGGCCCTCAGACCCCTGCAGCCTGACCTATACCATAAAAGCTTAAGCACGGGGTCTCTAGCCACACCCGAGGCCCTTTTGCCCCTTATCCTGGCACACAACCAAGCCTTCCCTGTACGTGACACATGCAAGAGACAGCAATGGGGAGGTCTCCCTCTGGAAGAGGCAGGGATTTTCCTCCTTCCTGGAGAGCTGCCTCTACTTCCCTGAATCCCTCACTGATGGGTCCCTGGATTACAGGACTAGGAGCCGGGAGGCACGAGCTAAATCCAGAAAGGGAAAGGGCAGGCAGTGGTTGGGCTGGCATGCAATGATAGTGAGGGTTCCTCTGTGTCCCCCTCCACTCCAAGCTCTTCCTTATGTTCAGGCCTAAGCTGTTCTCGGGCCATGTGTAAAGCCCAGTTTCACTGCGTCCTCCTCCTCAGAGACCTGAGCTCCTCACAGGCAGGGACGGACCATGTCTTCTTAGTCTCCCCTCTCCAGGGTGCTTGGCCACATGCCAGGCCCATGGGAGGGTGGAATGAGGAGTGGATCAACTAACAAATGGATGGGAAGACAAGTGTCTAGGTACCTGGGACAGAAAAATGGATGAGTGGATGGACTGGAGGACAGATAGGTAGTAGACAGGAGAATGGAATAGCAGGTAGGTAGATGGGTAGATGGATCTGTGGAAGGATAGGTAGGCAGGGAGTGGATAGATGGATGGGGAGTATGGAGCTGACGTCAGGTAGATGAATGAAGAGATTAACAATGGGTGACAGGTGGGAGGATGGAAGGATGAATGGAAGTGTGGGTGGGTGAATCGGTAGATCAGAGAGTGGGTAAATAAGTGGGTACATAGGTGAATGGATGAGTGGATGGATGGATGGATGGATGGATGGATGGATGGATGGATAGATGGGTAGACGTGAATCATACACAGATGTGTGAATGAACCAGTAGGTGGGTGGATGAGTAGATAGGTAGAAGGGCAGATAGGTGGAAGGGCAGACGGGTGGAAGATAAATGGGTAGGAGAGTGGAGGTAATCACAGTACTTACCTGAGGCCTCTTCCTCTACTGCCTGGATAGGGTATGACTTCCACTCAGACTTCACCACCAGCTTGAGAACGTTGCGGGCAGCTGTCAGCCAGAAGTCCTCTGCTCCCAGGCCAGGGGATACCCTGCTCAGCCCCTAGGCCTGAGGCCTGTTCTGGTTCCAGAACCTGATCATGACTTGCCCCATTTTGGATCCAGAACCTGACTCTACCTTTTCTGACTCTAGAGCCTGAGTTTAGAACTTGCTCCTGTTTCAGGCCATGCGCAGTGGCTTATGCCTATAATCTTAGTACTTTGGGAGGCCGAGGTGGGTGGATCACGAGGTCAGGAGAACGAGACCATCCTGGCTAACACAGTGAAACCCCGTCTCTACTAAAAATACAAAAAATTAGCTGGGTGTGGTGGCGGGAGCCTGTAGTCCCAGCTACTAGGAAGGATGAGGCAGGAGAATGGCATAAACCCGGGAGGCAGAGCTTGCAGTGAGCCAAGATCGAGCCACTGCACTCCAGTCTGGGTGACAGAGTGAGATTCTGTCTCAAAAAAAAAAAAAAAAAAAAAAAGGACTTGCTCCTGTTTCAGTTGTGGAACCAGACCCCAAATCTGACCTGACCTGGATCATATTCTGCCTTCAGAATCTGGCTTGGACCCATTGTCTGATTTATTTCTTCTGTTCATCACCTACTTTTGATACTTATTCTATCCTGAGAACCAGACTATGTCATATTTCAGATTTTGAATGTAATTTAAACCTAGCATAGAATCTGGATCCAAATTCTAACCTGAATTTGGAACATATTGTGGAATTGGAACCTAGTCTGCCTTAGAAACCCAAAGCCTGCAGCCTTTTTTGGAACCCAATTCAACAAGTGGAACTTGATATAAGCCTGGAATCTGTTCTGGATTCCAAACTCAAGGGACTGACCAGCTTTTAGAACCTGCTCTAGAATATAAGCCAAGCTACCTGAGCTTTTCTGGAGGTCAGAGTTGACCAAGCTAAGAGGCTCATTAAGGGAGGGCACATTAGGGAAGGATAAGGATTGAGGGTGGAAAAGGAAATCTGCTGGGGCAGACGAGGACATGAAGAGAGGCCTGTTGCTCTCCAACATGAGCCAGAGCTTCAGCCCTGCTCCGTCAGCCTGAGGTCCAGGCATGGGGCTGGGGGTCTCCTTACCTATGAAGGCTTTTTTGTCATCCTCAGCCCCCAGGCGGTAGCAGCGTGGGAAGAAGGAATTGGCATCAACCTCATCAAACCACGGCAAATTCCGGAGATTGAGACATAGACCCACCTACGGAGTTAGTGCTGAGAGGGCAGGGCGGGACTGCCCACACTCAGCACACACCCAGACAGCTCAGAAAGACCCCAACTGGATATGCTCTCAGAGCCTTGGCCCCACTTGCAAGGTCTGAGTTGCTCACATCTATCACCATATATTTGCCTGGGCAGTGTCCTTTGCCAAGAATGCCTGACGTCCCTCCTGTCCACCCTTTCACATTTTTTTTTTTTTTTTGAGATGGACTCTCGCTCTGTTGCCCAGGCTGGAGTGCAGTGGCGCGATCTCAGTTCACTGTAAGCTCCGCCTCCCAGATTCATACCATTCTCCTGCTTCAGCCTACAGAGTAGCTGGGACTACAGGCACCCATCACCATGCCCGGCTTATTTGTTGTATTTTTAGTAGAGACGGTGTTTCACCGTGTTAGCCAGGATGGTCTCGATCTCCTGACCTGTGATCTGCCCGCCTCGGCCTCCCAAAGTGCTGGGATTACAGGCGTGAGCCACTGCGCCTGGCCCACCCTTTCACATTCTTAAAGAGCTGCCAAGGCCAAGCGCAGTAGCTTACACCTGTAATCCCAGCACTCTGGGAGGCTGAAGTAGGAGGACTGCTTGAGGCCAAGACCAGCCTGGGCAACATAGCAAGACCTCACCTCTTAAAAATAGAACAAAACAAGAGCTGCTTCTTCTAGAATCCTTCCTAACCCACACCAATAATATAATGGCAGGTCATTATTATAAAGCCCTTCATCCTTGCCACAATCCCAGAAGACAGTCCTTACTGGTATTCTCACTGAAAGATGAGAAAACTGAGGCTCAGAGAGGTGAAGTCACTTGCTAAGAAACCCAGGTAAGGCTGGGCATGATGGCTCATGCCTGTAATCCCAGCACTTTGGGAAGCTGAAGTGGATCACCTGAGGTCATGAGCTCAAGACTAGCTTGGCCAACATGATGAAACCCCATTTCTACTAAAAAATACAAAAATCAGCCAGGTGTGGTGACACGCACCTGTAGTCCCAGCTACTCAGGAGGCTGAGGCAGAAGAATTGCTTGAACCTGAGAGGCAGAGATTGCAGTGGGCAGAGATTGCACCACTGCATTCCAGCCTGGGAGACGGAGTGAGACTCCACTCAAAAAAAAAAAAAAAAAGAAACCCAGGTAAGACAGAATGGGTTCATTAGCCAGATATCTTTTGCTTAGGAGGTTAAGAGCCTGCTTGCTCACTATCATTGGGTTTGGTGATTGTTCTACCTCCAGACCCATTTGAATGCCGGAGCCCATTTTAGTCACTATATCTACACATGCCAGATACGGTGCAGGGGCTGGATTTGAACCAGCCAGATGCTGGTCAGACTCCAAATCTTCTGAATTATAAACTTCCCCTTGCCCTGAGAACTTCCTGTTACTAACAAGGAGAGCAGGGAGGAGGGCTGCCAGCCCAAGGGCGGGGAGTTGGAGGCTGCCCTGCCTGCTCCTCTAGGGAGCCCACCTTTGTGGTAAAGGAGCCAGCCCGGGCGTAGTGGTTTATCATCTGATCCTTGGAGAGGAAGCGACAGTCGAGCACATCCCGCCGAGTGGTCCAGATGAAGTAGGGGGTCTCATTCTGAACCATGCGGGACTGGGGAGACAGGGAGGAGACAGAAACACAGAGGCCAGTGTGGGTAGCAGGGCCTAAGGCAGCCTCTCCCTGCCCTGCTGAGCAGGGTGGGTGAACAGGAAGGAGAGGATGCTTCCAAGGTGGACTCTAACCCACACATCATCTTTGTGTAACTCAAGATTTCTCTTCCTCCAGGGCACAGGTGGGCAGAGGCCAAGCCAGCCTTTCAGGTTCCTTTTGGCCTTAGGGATGCCACAGGTGGCAGCGTGAGAAGAAGGAGTTGGCATTAGCCTCATCAAACCACGGCAAATTCCAAAGACTGAGACATAGACCCACCTATGGAGTTAGCCGCTGAGGAGGCAGGGCCCCTAAGGGTGCCCCCAAGCAGTGACAAAGCTGCACAACTGAATGTCACACTTTGTTCTGGCCCATGGTCATCAGTGACTTGCCCAGGGGCAGGACGGTGACTCCAAGCTGATGGGCACACAGCCTGTGACAAAGGCTCTCTCATGGACCCCACCTCTCTCCATCCTTCCTACAATTCTGGGAGGTGGGATAATTATTCATAACCAGTGTCAGCACATGCTGGGCCCTGCTCTAAGCACTTTCCATGTCAGTTCATTCAAGGTTCACCACAATTCTACGTGGTAGGTGCTAAGGTAATCTCTATTTTGCAGATGAGGAAACTGAGGCACAGGAAGGCAAGTGACTTGCCCAAGGGCTCATGAGATTGACCCATATGAAGCTGCCAATATTCAGCCATTCCTGACATAGAGAAATGGCTTTTTTTTTTTTTTTTGAGATGGAGTCTGATTCTGTCGCCGAGGCTGGAGTGCAGTGGTGTGATTTTGGCTCACTGCAACCTCCGTCTCCTCGGTTCAAGTGATTCTTCTGCCTCAGCTTCTCTAGTAGCTGGAATTACAGGTGTGTGCCACCAGACCCAGATAATTTTTTTTTTTTTTTGTATTTTTAGTAGAGACGGGGTTTCACCATGTTCCCCAGGCTGGTCTCGAACTCCTGACCTCAAATAAGCCCCCCACCTTGGCCTCCCAAAGTGTTGCGATTACAGGCGTGACCCACCACGCCCGGCCAGAAATGGCAATTTTATATAGTTGACCTCAGTAAGTGGCACTACCAAGATGGAAACCCAAGTACCCTCACCTCAACATGCATGTCCTACACATCATCACACCCAACTCTTTCAGCTTTTTTTTTTTTTTTTTTCCAGATGGAGTTATCACTTGTTCTGTCACCCAGGCTGAAGTGCAGTGGTGCGATTTCAGCTCACTACAACCTCCATCTCCTAAGTTCAAGCAATTCTCATGCCTCACCCTCCCGAGTAGCTGGGATTACAGGTGCCCGCCACCACGCCTGGCTAATTTTTGTATTTTTATTTTATTTTTGAGACAGAGTCTTGCTCTGTCGCCCAGGCTGGAGTGCAGTGGCGTGATAGCTCACTGCAACCTTCGCTTCCCAGATTCAAGCAATTCTCCTGCCTCAGCCTCCCAAGTAGCTGTGATTACAGGCATATACCACTACACCCAGCTAATTTTTATATTTTTTTAATAGAGACAGGGTTTCACCATAGTGGCCAGGTTGGTCTTGAACTCCTGACCTCAGGTGATCCATCAGCCTCGGCCTCCCAAAGTGCTGGGATTAAAGGCGTGAGCTACTGTGCCCGGCCTTTATTTTATTTTTTATTTTTATTTTTTGAGACAGAGTCTCACTCTGTCGCCTAGGCTGGGATGTAGTGGCGTGATCTCAGTTCACTGCAACCTCCACCTCCTGGGTTCAAGCAATTCTCCTGCCTCAGCTTCCTGAGTAGTTGGGATTACAGGTGCCTGCCACCACACCGGCTAATTTTTTTTTGTATTTTTTTTTTCCAGTAGAGATGGGTTTTCACCATGTTGGCCAGGCTGGTCTCGAACTCCTAACCTCAAGGGATCCGCCCGCCTCGGCCGCCCAAAGTACTGGGATTACAGGCATAAGCCACCCCACTCCGCCTCTTCCACAGCTTTTTAAGTCCTTCCTTCCTACCTTCACTTACCAAGAGCAGAGGGAGAAGGTGAACTATGGGGTTTTTATTTGAAGGGGGAGTTACCATGCATGGAAGCTGTGCTGGCATCTGGTATGACCTAGCAGAGCTCTGAACCACAGGCCAGATGGGACACAGGCCTGATGTGTCCCTCCCCACTCTGTGGCCCTATCCAGCCTTTATTCACTTATTTCTTTTTTAGAGATAGAGACTTGCTTTGTTGCCCAGGCTGGAGTGCAGTGGTGCGACCATAGCTCACTGCAGCATGTAATTTCCGGGTTCAAGCGATCCTCCCATCTTAGCCTCCCGAGTAGCTGGGACTATAGGAACATGCCACCACACCTGGATAATGTTTTTCTACCTTTTTTTGTAGAGACTGAGTCTTATATGTTGCCCAGGCTAGTCTTGAACTCCTAGCCTCAAGTGATCCTCCCACCTTGGCCTCCTGAGTAGCTGGGACCACAGGCATGAGCCACCATGCCCAGCTCTATCCAGCCTTTAAAGAAGCAGTTTTTACTACAGATAGGGAAACTGTGGCCCAGAGAAAGAAAGGACTTGTCTGAGGTCACCCAGCTGGACACCAATGCTCTCCCTCTAAGCAGGCAGCCCCTGCTTCATCTTGTCCCCCAGGGCCCTCACCATCAGAGCATGTGTTCCATCTAGGTCATCAAATTTCAGTAAATCATCCAAGTCGAACAGCTGTGGTGGCTGGAACTCCTCATCCTCATCTTCATCCTCTGTGGATGCAGAGGCCAGAGCTGATGAGTTTCCTCTCCCTGCCCCATAGTCCATAAGGCCTCAACCTTGGGACAGTGGGAACCAAAGAAAAGGGACTCAGGAGGGACAGTTGTGGAAAGGGAGGGAACCACTCACCATCCTCAGTGGTGTCACTGTCACCCATCGCTGAGCTATCCAGATCCTTCTGGGGTGGCAGCAGGGTGGCGCCTGAGCGATGGACCATCTTCTTCTCCACCCAGCCCCTCCGGCGCAAGAGACACCGGATCACTGGGTAGCAGCCTTGGATTGTAAAGATCTTCTTCTGCTGCAAGGTGAGAGATGGATACTTCTTCAATAAGTATTACATAAGTACCAGACATAGGGGATATAAAGGTGAACCAGACAGTATGGACACTGCCATCAGGAAATTTTTATATTCCAGTAGGAGAAATAAACAGACTATAAATAAGTAGAGAAATAAATATGCATGGTAATAATAATAGCAATGGCTACTATTTATTGAGGACCTACTATGTGCTGAGCACTTACATGCATTACTAACAATACATTAAGCATTTTTGTTTTGTTTTGTTTGAGATAGGGTCTCACTCTGTTGCCCAGGCTGGAGTATAGTGGCACAATCTCGGCTCACTGCACCCTCTTCCTCCTGGGTTCGAGTGATTCTCCTGCCTCAGCCTCCTTGAGTACCTGGGATTACACGTGTGCACCACCATGCCCAGATTTTTTTTTTTTTTTTTTTTTTTTTTTTGAGATGGAGTCTTCCTCTGTCACCCAGGCTGGAATAGTACAATCTTGGCTCACTGCAACCTCCACCTCCCGGGTTCAAGCGATTCTCCTGCCTCAGCCTCCCCAGTAGCTGGCAGTACAGCTGTGTGCCACTACGCCCAGCTAATTTTTGTATTTTTAATAGAGACGGGGTTTCACCATATTTGCCACACTGGTCTCAAACTCCTGACCTTAGGTGATCCACCCACCTTGGCCTCCCAAAGTGCTGGAATTACAGGCATCAGTCACCGCACCCGGCGCCCAAATAATTTTTATATTTTTTGGTAGAGACTGAGTTTCACTGTGTTGGCCAGGCTGGACTTGAACTCCTGGTCTCAAGTGATCCTCCTGCCTTGGCCTCCCAAAATGCTGGGATTACAGGTGTCAGCCACCTCACCCGGCCAATACTATGCATTTTTATTAGATACTGTTATCTCCATTTTACTGGCTATGAAACAGAGGCATAGAGAAGTTGAGCAGGGTGCCTGAGGCCGCACAGTGGTTAAGCAAAAGAGCAGGGATTTACATCCTGGCAGTTTGGCTCCAGAAACTGCATACTTAATGGGATCCAGAGAAACTACTTAGAAATACATGGCCAGGGAAGGTTGAAAGGAAGCCACGAATGCACAGAACTGGGAAATGGCGATTCAGGCAGAGGGGAATGCATGTGCAAAGGCCTTGAGGCTGGAGAGAGGTCAGAAGGAACTGAAGGGAGACCAGAGTGAGTGGAGCATGGAAAATGATGGGGAAAGCCCCAGAGGAGGTAGGCAGTGGCCAGACTGTGGAAGGCCTGCAGGCCTCAGAACGGACTTGGATTTCATACTAAGAGTGTCGTGAACAAAAAAGGGTAACTGAGGGAGTCTTTCCAGGCTTGGCTTGCTGCTGTATGGCAAAAAGATGAGGGGACAGGATGGAGGCAGACCAGTTAGGAGGCTGTCATGGTTTGCCTAGGAGAGAAATCACAATTACTAAAATGAAAGTGGTTACATCACGGACTGGAGAAGGTGCTAGAGTTGAGAATCGTTTTGGAGGTGGAGATGACAAGTGGTTTTGCTGATGGGATTAGACCTGTGGGTGAAGAAACAGAGAGATGAGATTTCTGGCCTGAGGAACTGAGAGATGGGAAAGACCACAGACTGGGGAGGACAACAGGTTTGGGCAGGAAGATCAAAGTCTGGTTTGGGACCTGAATTTGAAATGCTTGTTAAGTTTTCTGGGTGTAGATGATAGGTAGGGGGCTGGATCGACCGGATGTGGAGTTCGAGGCTGGGCTGGAAGGGGCACAGAGGGGGTGCAGCACACTGACCGGACTCAGCCAAGGACACAGCCAAAGGAGACAGACCTGGGGAAGGGGCCAGGGGGCCACTAATGGCCAAGGAACCTTTAAAGGCCACTGAAAAGCGGCAGCCAAAGAGGGAGAAAGGAAAACGAGGAGCGTGCAGTCAGACAGCCAAGGGGAAGGGTGTGTGTGGGGCAGCGGTGTAGAAAGATACAGGGTGCCCAACCGAGATCAAAACAGAAAGGCACTGCTGGGTTTGGCTCCCTGGAACTCACCAGGCACCTTGATTAGAGTGGGACATCACAGGGAACCAGAGTGGAGGGAGCCCAGAAGTTTGGTGCTGAAGGGGTAAATGGGGAGGTAGTTGAAGATGGGTGTGGTGGTTGAGGGTTTTTGCTGTTGTTTTTTCTTTTGCTTTTGTTTTTTAAGGATATAAGAAAACAGCGCAGGGAGACAGGTTGAGCCGCTCCCAGGGCCCTTTCTAAGCGCCCCCGCCCCTCCTCTGACCTTGACAGCTCTCTCCACGTAGATTTTGGCGTTTCTGAGCCGGTTCATGTGAGACGCCTTGGAGGATCCTCGCCAGAGGACCGGGAAACCTGCAGAAAGATGCGGAGTAGGGGCGGGGTAGACTGGGCCTGGGCCTAGGGTCTCGGCCCAGGATCTTTTCTCGCCGCCGATAGCCACGCCTCTTCTCTGCCTCCGGCCTTCATCCAGATGTCCACCCTCGGCCGCTCTTCTCCCGACCCCCATTCCCTCCCTCCACCCCAGCATCTTGTCGTCCTCGCAGCCGCTGTAGGCCAGAGTGAACGGGCCGCACGGGGCCTCACCATCCTGCGGAGAGGGGTCATCCAGGACCGGGGTGTGCGGGGGGCCGAGGGGGCGGGGATCCGCGGCGCCCTGGGCGTGGGTGCCTGGGACCAGCGTATTGAAGGCGCGGCCGAGGCGGCGCGCAGGAGCGGGGCTGCCCGCCTGGCATCTACCGCCTGCGTGGCCCTCCTCGGGCTGGGCGGAGGCAGGGCCGGGCCATGGCAGCCTCCTGGGTGGACGGAACTCGGAGCGGCGGGCCAAGGGGAAACTGGTGCGTGGCTCAAGCGGCTGCGGCTTTCGCAGCCAGTTGCACACCGGGCCGCCCCCCTGGCGGTACCAGGAGGCCGAGACCCGGCGCCCGGGCCCCAGCTCCCCAGCGCTCAGGAGCAGCGGCGCGTCGGGGCCCTGCATGCGCCCCTCGCGGCGCTCGCCCTCCCAGCGCCCCTGATCCCGCCTCCCCTCCGCGTCGCTGCCTCCTCTCCCGGGAAGGTCCTGCCTAGGCTCGAGCCTTGTCCTCCGTTCCAAGCCCCGCCCCGTTTGCTATTGCCTTGGAAACCATTCCCTGGGCACCATCAGACCGCTCGGGGTTGGTTGGGGGCTGCGGTGGGCCCCGGGGCAGTCAAGCGAGGGCTTCCTCAGGACCTGGGGCCTCACCCACACCCTTGATGAGTGGAGCACTGAAGGCGGAAGAGAGCACTGAGCCCCAGTTAGTGCCGCGGTTCCTTATCCAGTACTTCCTGGTGCCACCGGCCGTGGGGTTTGGGCGATTCTACAGTATTTATAGGCGCTAACAAATGGCCCCTGATCTCATGGCGCTTACAGCCCAGTGAGGGGAATAAAAAGTAACAAAGGAAGGGAATAGTTACAGGTATAATAAGGGCAATGAACAAGCAGAGGTGAAACCAGGAAGAGGACGCATTTTAGATGAAGTGGAGGTAGAGGATGTCCTCTCTGAAGAGGTGACACATTTAAGCTGAAGATGTAAATGCGAGGAGTCAGGAGTCACCAGGGAAAAGGGAGGAACAGCACTTCAGGGAACAAACAGTCCCAGCAACAGCCGAGAAGGGTTAAGAACTACAAGACAGCCAGCGTGGCTGGAGCCTGGCGAGGACAGATCAGACCTGCCGGGCCTGGCAGATGGGCCTAGGGTAAGGTCCTTAGCGAGGGCAGCATATGGGGGTAACACGAAAGTGCAGAGCACACCCTCCCCAGGAACTTGGAAATGGAAAAACTGATCATCATTTGAGTCAACTGTGAAAGAAATGTAATAGATCAGAACAGTTATGCCTGGCCCCCAGGCTAAGACTGTAAGCAACCTTTTTGGAGCACTGGCAAAGTATTATCCTCAAAAGTCACAGGGGAGATAAGGTTCCAAGATGTTAAACAATTTGCCTCAAATCACAGAGCAGAGGCAGCATTGCAACCCAGGTCTGACTCCAAAGCCTGTCTCTTAAACACCTGTATGTTATCACACAGAAGGTTGCCTGTTAGCCACAGAAGGACCACACAGGGACAGTTTGAGAGGCCAACTCTAGCAGTGCCCATGCAGGCAGAGTTAAAGAGAGTACCCTGGTCAGAGCCCAGCTTTGTTAGTCACTGGGGAGATGTGCTCTTAAGTGAAGGTGGATTCCCCACCTTTCTGTCCAGCTGACCCCAACCCCCTTTAGCTGATGGCTGGACTTCCCAAAAAGCACATCCCCAGGAGAGGTGATTTAGGGAATTTGGACCCTGGGAGAGAGATACGTGACAAATGAGGGTTGTGGCTGGCTCACCCAGGCAATGCTCTCCTGTGAGGGTTGTTGAGTGACCAGCTGCTATACCCTATTAGTCACCCAGTTTCACTGTGACCACCTTTAACATTCACTGCAAAGCTAGAACATAGCCATGTGCCCTGGAGGAGGGAACATCTAATTCAGAGGGGTAGTGAGGTAGGTCACAGAGGTAATGTCATAAAGGGGATGATAACACTTTGGGAGGCTGAGGCGGAAGGATCACCCAAGGCAGCCCAGGCAACATAGCGAGAACTAAAAAAAACAAAAAACAAAAACAAAAAAATTAGCTAGGTGTGGTGGCACAAGCCTGTGGTCCCAGCTACTCAGGAAGCTGAGGTGGGAGAATCACTTGAGCCTGGAGAAGCTGAGGCTGCAGTGAGCCACGATTGCACCACTGCACTCCAGCCTGGGTGACAAAGCGAGACCGTCTCAAAAATGGAAAAAAAAAAAAAGGTGGCGGGGGAGAGGGGCAATAGCTGTTCAGGTTGCCCTCGCGCCCTCCTGCCTTTAACATCACCTTGTCCACCCCATCAAGAGAGACCCCTCTGGCCATCTGGAGGAATCCCTTTTCAAAGCTCAGCTCAAAGGTTAACCCTTCTTGAAGCTTACCCTGACACCCTCTCCTATATTTACCCCTTGGCCCCCAGACTTCCAATATTAAACATAAAACACTTCAGTGAACCTTTTACATACCTAGCCCTTTTCCTGGACCTCCAAGTCTCTTCGAGGCAAGGATAACATCATGAACACTGGAAATTATTCAACAGCCCAGCCACTGGGCTGGTGAACAACTACGGTTGTCAGTACCTGTGTGGCAGGGACCATGTCAGATTGTTCATATTCATTATCTCTACTTTATAGACTAAGAAACTGAGACACAAAATAGAAATAACTTGACCAAATTTGTCAAGAAGAATCAGGACTCAAACACAAGGGTTTTTTTTTTTTTTTTTTTTTTACTTCGAGGTGTTACTAAGGTATAGTACTATCCAATGGAACTTTCTGCAATGATAGGAATCTCTATGTATGTGTTGTATATGCTCTGTCTATATATGCTGTTATACATGGTACAGTCATTGGTAGCTGTTAAGTTGCCAGTGGGACTAGGGAACTGGATTTTAAACTTATTTAATTGTAATAATTAAAATTTAAATAGCCACTTGTGGATGGTGATTACTGTTTTGGCACAGACAAAAGTCTACTCTCTTGCTCACTGGCTAGATTTGGGGCAAGTTATTACATCTCATGTTTGGAATCACAGTTTCCTTATCCACCAAATGGGAGCACTGTTTCTCTGAGGTTACTTTTTAGCCCAAGTAAGTTCATTATATGAAAAGCACCCAAGCTCTGTATAGGCAGAGAGAGCAGTTTCAGAAATGAATGGTGCCTGGACTACAATGAATGGAGTCTCTGGGTTGGGGACCCTGGTAGGAATAATGGCGGGACCAATCATGAGATTGCACCCAGTGGGGAGCTCCAGGCACAATTACCAGCCATCTAGTCTCAGGGAAAAGAAGCCCCACCTCCCCTCCTTTCATACACACAGACAGCAAAGACCTCATGCAGCCCCAAAGGGGCAAAAAGAGACTTTAATTAGGGGAGGGAGGATCCACCAGAATCAGAAAAGGGACAGCTAGCGTGGGAGCAGACAAGCCAGAACAGGCAGGAGGAGGGCCCGGCTGGGAAGCTCTGGAGGACTCACCTCGCAACCTCTGGCACAGGCACTGGCACTGACGGACAAGGCGAAACAGCGGCCCCTCTCAACTAGGAGGGTACCCAGTGGCCCCTGTAGTCAGGGGTTGCCTGGCTTTTGGGCCCCAGGTCCTAGGCATGACTGGTGGTCACCAATTTGGCCCTTGTCCCCAACCAGTGCTGGGGGGCCATCTTCAGGCAGAACTCAGGAAGCTGGCAGAGGGTTCCCACCACTTACATTGGGGCCAAGGAGGCTTGGGAATAAAAGGGTAAGGGAGAGAAACCGGAGTCTGAAACCTCCCTCCCTCCCCACCTGGGGTGGCATAGGAGAGAAAAAATAAAGTCGCCTTCTGGCTCCAGGCCCGCCCAGACCCACAGCAACCAATAAGGTACAATCACTGGGACCAGTCACAGTCACTGGAGGTGGAGGTTTAAAAAAAAAAAAAAAAAAAAAAAAGACAAAAAGGTTACAGTATCCTACAAGCACAGAGTTTAAGTTTCAAGACGTTAAAAAAAAATCTGTCCCGGCCCAGGGCACTGACCATCAGAAGCCAGCCTGACCAGGCATGTGTGGCCTTGGGGCAGGTCCACAGCTGCTTTCTTGCCCAGCTAGCAAGCACATCACCCACCTCCCGCATCAAATGCCCACCCCAACCCAGCTCCCTGCCGCCGCTGCCGCCGCTGCCGCCGCTGCTCTGGGGAGTGACTCCAGGACGCCTTCGTGGAGACATGGGTAGTCTGAGGGGGAAGGCCACAAGATCCAGCCAGATAGTTTAAAACTGTCAAGAGAACCAAGAGGCAGTGCATGGTGGTTATTATTGCATCCTGGTAGGACTGCTCTAAGGAGGTGCATGAACCTGAGCTGCCACTGTGCTCATATCTCTGATGGGCAGAGTTGGGTCCCAGGACACCTTGTGGTCATGCTCTAATTCAGCCAGCTTTCAGAAGTGACCTATGGGCACCAGCCCTAAGCCTAACACTAGATGAGGCAGAAAAATTAACAGCCATGGAGCTTATCCACAGCTCCCCTGTGCCCTGGCATGGAGGCTGCTAGAAAGCCCTGTCAGCGTCCTGCCTGGTGAACTGGGGTTGCTTTCTTTAGGCATGGGGGCTCTCATGCAAGGGGCTTGGGGACTCAGAGGGCCAAGTGGAGAAGGACCCAGCTTCTGGTACTTTTGTGTCAAGCTCTGGATGATCCTCCAACCAAGACAGGCCCTTGAAATGTTTTCTGCCCTCAAGGGACCCCCATGCTGCCTAGGACAGCCCTGGACATTTTAGAGACCAAAGGTTGTGAACCAATGGTCCATGCCTGAAACCAGCCCAAAGATGAGCACTGTATGGCCCACATGGTGTTTAAAAGAATATGAATTGGCCGGGCGCGGTGGCTCAAGCCTGTAATCCCAGCACTTTGGGAGGCCGAGACGGGCGGATCACGAGGTCAGGAGATCGAGACCATCCTGGCTAACACAATGAAACCCCGTCTCTACTAAAAAATACAAAAAACTAGCCGGGCGAGGTGGTGGGCGCCTGTAGTCCCAGCTACTCGGGAGGCTGAGGCAGGATAATGGCGTGAACCCGGGAGACGGAGCTTGCAGTGAGCCGAGATCCGGCCACTGTACTCCAGCCTGGGCGACAGAGCGAGACTCCGTCTCCAGAAAAAAAAAAAAAAAAAAAAAAAAAGAATATGAATTAGTTGGCCAGGCGCGGTGGCTCACGCCTGTAATCCTAGCACTTTGGGAGGCCCAAGTGGGTGGATCATGAGGTCAGGATATTGAGACCATCCTGGCTCACACGGTGAAACCCCATCTCTACTGAAAGTACCAAAAACATTAGCTGGCCGTGGTGGCAGGCACCTGTAGTCCCAGCTACTTGAGAGGCTGAGGAATGAGAATGGCATGAACCCAGGAGGCGGAGCTTGCAGTGAGCCACACTCCAGCCTGGGCGACAGAGCGAGACTCCATTTAAAAAAAAAAAAAAAAAAAATTGGGGGCTCAATGGCCTGGAGGTGTGTGGGAGCCAGCCCCTGCAGATGAGGCATGTGCTTAGCACTCCTCATCCTGCCCACTCCACGGCTACCCAACCTTTGGATGCACCTGAATGTGTGACCCCGACAAAGGTTATGGTACTATCTTAGACCTCTGAGTCTGAAAACCCAGCTCCACATTCTGGTTCCTCCTTACTGGCTGAGGGACCTTGGACAGGTGCTTTTGCTTCTAGAGCCCCAGTTTATTAATCTCTAAAATGGCGATAATAGCTGACTCAAAGATTGTTTTGAGTAATAAACGGGATATGTGAACATACTTTTTTAGGTGTCTAATTCTGTGTGATGTAATTATCATAAATAAGTAAATGATTGTTGAAATGAGTGAGCCAATATTGGAACAAGAGCTATTTTCCCCTTCCAGTTCAATCTAGAGGGTTCCTAGTATCCTGGTCATAAAACTTCAGTGCTGCAATACATGGAAAGCTTACTATATACCAGGTGCTATGTTTTACACACATGGTCTCACTTAATGCTCAACCACTCTGAAAGATAAGTATTAATTACCAGACCTTCATTTCACAGCTGAGGAAACTGAGGCTTAGTTGAAAGTTCAGTGACATGCTTGAGTAGGTGGTGGAGCCTGGATTCACACACAGGTGGTCTGCCTCCACAGCTGAGTGAGCTGAACAACCATGCTGACCTGTGCATACACTATGGCTACTCTGTATACTGGCCACCCTCAGTATAATTAAATCCCAAGGGAAGCGGGTATAATTTCCATTTTTAGGAATCTAAGCTCCTTCTGGACTGGGTGTGTACTTACTAGTGGGAGTACACACTAAGTCTACCATCTAGAGATCACAGCCACTCTGGGTGGAACATATCAACAAACCGAAGATTGTTTGGAAAAAGGAGAAAAAAAAAGAAGGCATGTTCTGAATATCTAAACAACTAAGAACTATGTCATCAGTTCATCAATGTAAACAATTCTACCTCTTCAAATGACTACGTGCTTTCAATTAGAAAGGCATAAACAATGTAAGAGGAATCTGGAGGACTGATATCATGCAAGTGATAGAAAACAGGTTGAAGGAATCACGACTAAGCCTGAGAAACATGCTTAAGGGAAGTACTGAAGTCTATTTGAGAAGTGGAATTATAACATGATTAACTGTCCTATATTCCTAGAAAATTCACATGCAGACTTCACTTGCCTCGCTTGGGGTTTGAATCAGATAGAGGTAAGGCCTTTGTGAATATCTTGAGATGTAGAAATGAGTGTCCAAGTTCCTATGAGGGACTAGGAGACATCCCAGACACCCAAACATAGAAAACGCCTTGTAGCTCTCAGAGATGAACTTGGGGTCCTCTGGCTCCAAAGCACCTGACTGACCTGCTGTGCCCAGGGGTCCTAGAGAGCTCAGAAGATATAAACACACTGCTTGGACCCCTTTCCCACCAGATGCTAAGTTCTCAACATGACCCCCAGATCCTTTGGCCTCTGGAAGGAAAGCTGAAAGGCCCCTACTCACATTCTTAAGGAACTCCTCAGCCACAATGCGGGCACGGGCATTGACTGACAGCTTCATCTCACTGATCTCCTTGTCAATCTCCTCCATGAAGTGGATCACAAAGTCTACCAACTTGTGTTTGTACATCTGCTCTGTGTGGAAGTTGGTGATCAGAAAGCTGATATCATATCCCTAGGGAAGAAGACAGTAGGGAGGAGGAAGAGAAGGAACAGGAGAGAATTAGCACCCCAGGGGAACTAAGCTGGTCACGTCCTCCACTCATCCACATGGTTCCCACTGGCTGTGATCTTCTCCCAAGCTACACACCCTTCCAGTCAGCAGCCCAGCTGCTCTGGGGGAGAGGGTGTCTAGGTTGGATCCAAGCAACTGAACCCAGTTGAGAATTCTGTGTGTATCAGACATCTCTGGAAGACTATCTGTGGCACAAAGAACTCTGCATTGAGAATGAGTCAAGGGACTTGAAGTCTTGTTACAGAAGAATCTAATCAAACAACAGGGAACATTTCGTTCAGAGAAGAGATGATGTGGAAGATGGGTGGGATTAAGGTCTTTTTCTGCTGGAGGGCTGTGGGAGGAAGAGCAATTTTATTCCAGGTGGCCCCAGAGGTTAGATCTAGGACCAGGAGAGAAAATTTGGCTCAGGATGAGGAAGAACTTGGCCAACACGCCTGACGTGTCTGATGATGGCACATGCTGCTGTGTGGTAGTTGCTCAGTCACTGGGGATATTTTAAGTTGACCTGGCAAGGAGTCTGTGGAGAAGATTCAAGTAAAAATTCAGGCAACAACTGACCCAATGTTAACTGTGGCTTTAAAAGACTGATTTGGTGGGCCGGGCGTGGTGGTTTATGCCTGTAATCCCAGCACTTTGGGAGGCCGAGGTGGGTGGATCACGAGGTCAGGAGATCAAGACCATCCTGGCTAACACGGTGAAACCCTGTCTCTACTAAAAATACAAAAAATTAGCCAGGTGTGGTGGCAGGTGCCTGTAGTCCCAGCTACTTGGGAGGCTGAGGCAGGAGAATGGCATGAACCCAGGAGGCGGAGCTTGCAGTGAGCCAAGATCACGCCACTGCATTCCAGCCTGTGCGACACAGCGAGACTCTGTCTCAAAAAAAAAAAAAAAAGAAAGAAAGAAAAAAGAGGCTGGGCGCAGTGGCTCACGCCTGTAAACCTAGCTGAGGCAGGTGGATCATGAGGTCAGGAGATCAAGATCATCCTGGCTAACACGGTGAAACCCCGTCTCTATTAAAAATACAAAAAAATAAGCCGGGCATGGTGGCAGGCACCTGTAGTCCCAGCTACTTGGGAGGCTGAGGCAGGAGGATGGCATGAACCTGGGAGGTGGAGTTTGCAGTGAGCTGAGACTGCGCCACTGCACTCCAGCCTGGGCGACGGAGCCTCCGAGACTCCGTCTCAAAAATAAAAAAAAAAAAAAAGAGAGACTATGATTCACTTTGGGAGGCCGAAGCAGGCAGATCACCTGAGGTCAGGAGTTCCGAGACCAGCCTGGCCAACACAATGAAACCCTGTCTCTACTAAAAATACAAAATTAGCCAGGTGTGGTAGCGTATGCCTGTAATCCCAGCTACTCAGGAGGCTGAGGCAGGAGACTCGCTTGACCTGGGAGGTGGAGGCTGCAGTGAGTGAGATTGTGCCACTGTACTCCAGCCTGGGCAACAAGAGCAAAACTCCATCTCCAAAAAAAAAAAAAAAGAGAGAGAGAGACTATGATTCAGTTGGCAGAGCTTAGAAAGGATTTCTAATTCACTGAGCTCTTTCTGATGCTAGACTATAGGCTCTGGGAATAAGCAATATGTCTTACCTTTTCTGCCTTTTTTTTTTCTGAGACGGAGTCTTGCTCTGTTGCCCAGGCTGCAGTGCAGTGGCACGATCTCGGCTCACTGCAACCTCCGCCTCCTAGGTTTAAGCAGTTAGTTCTCTGCCTCAGCCTCCTGAGTAGTTGGGATTACAGGTGCCCACCACAACGCCCAGCTAATTTTTGTATTTTTAGTAGAGACGAGGTTGCACCATGTTGGCCAGGCTGGTCTTGAACTCCTGACCTCGTGATCCACCCACCTCGGTCTCCCAAAGTGCTAGGATTAACAGGCGTGAGTCACCACACCCGGCCCTTTTTCACCTTTTCTATGGCTGAGGTAGACCCAACTTTTCCTAAGTTTCTAATCCTCTTTGCTCCCACTCTGAGATGAAGGCCAACTGTCAATTCAGGCAGTGGGTGCCAAACAGCTGGAGGAGCACTGATCCTGGTTCTAGAAACAATCCCAGGCCATTGCGATACGCAGGGTCCTGGGTATCGCAAACTCACGGGTCACAGGGTCTCACCTCCACAGGCTTCCTTCGAAGGATAAAGAAGTTCTCTGCTCGCATCATCATGAAGCGCATGAACTTGTGGCATAAAATCTTCTCGATCTCATCGGCCTGCGGAGTGCAAGAGAGAAACGTTTCTCTAAAGCTGACACCCAAGGCCAAAAACACCTTGTAGCCTGGTCTTCTGACTCCAATTTCTCCAAGGCTCCCAGGAGACAGTGAGGTTTGGTACTCGGAAGGATCACTGAAGTGGGGGACCTGGCTGCCAGCTGAAACAAGGGTCTACCTTGGGCCATCTGTTAATGAGGACCCATTCCAGAGAAGTAATTCTTATAGTCTTCTATGGCTTCTTTCAGAGTCTACAACTGTACTCCAAGCTGCCCTTCCCATTCTCATTTCACTAGTGTTACATTTCCCAGGGTGTTCTGTAGCACCACCTGGGCTATCAGAAATAACCTTAGGTGATCTCTGCTTTAATAACACTGAACATTTCTGAAGTTTCTCCCTTCTGAACTCTCAACATTTCCCTTTTTTTTTTTTTTTTTTTTTTGAGACGGAGTCTTGCTCTGTCGCCCAGACTGGACTGCAGTGGCGTGATCTACGCTCACTGTAAGCTCCACCTCCCAGGTTCACGCCATTCCCCTGCCTCAGCCTCCCCAGTAGCTAGGACTACAAGTGCCCACCACCACGCCTGGCTACTTTTTTTTTTTTTTTTTTGAGATGGAGTCTCACTCTGTCGCCCAGGCTGGAATGCAGTGGCGCGATCTCGGCTCACTGTAATCTCCGCCCCCCGGGTTCAAGCAATTCTCCTGCCTCAGCCTCCCGTGTAGTTGAGACTACAGGCGCATGCCACCACGCCTGGCTAATTTTTGTACTTTTAATAGAGACAGGGTTTTACCATATTGGCCAGGCTGGTCTTGAACTCCTGACATCAAGTGATCCACCCGCCTTGGTCTCACAAAGTGCTGGGATTACAGGCATAAGCCACTGTGCCTGGCCCCGAACTCTCAACATTTCTAAAGGAAAATTATTGCTGCTGGTTGCTAGTATGCCCTTAACATCTCCCAACACTTGTTAACCTCCCATTTTAACAAGGAAAGCAGGCCCCAGGGTTAGAACTTTCTGTAGAAAACATTATGTAGTCTGCATTTAACAATATTGTTTTGTTTTCATCCTGTTGAAAGTTTAGAGTTGCCTTCTACTGGCCAGGCATGGTGGCTCATGCCTGTAATCTCAGTACTTTGGGAGGTTGAGGCGGGCCGATCACCTGCGTCCGGAGATGGAGACCATTCTGGCAAACATGGTGAAACACCGTCTCTACTAAAAATACAAAAATTAACTGGACGTGGTGGCGGGTGCCTGTAATCCCAGCTACTCGGGAGGCTGAGACAGGAGAACTGCTTGAACCTGGGAGGCAGAGGTTGCAGTCAGCCGAGATCATGCCACTGCACTTCAGCCTTGGCGACAAGAGTTAAGAATCCGTCTCAAAAAAAAAGGAAGCAGAGGCTAGGTTTCCTGCACTCTGAATCTAGAATCTGGGTCACTGATCTCTCAGATGGGGACCCCTGGACTCAAAGAGAGCTCCTTACGCTGGGCCTCCTCCATGGTGAACTTACCTGTTTCACAGCGATGCTGACCCGGACAGAGTTGATGGAGCCCTCAATCAGAACCTTTTCCTTCTCATTCCTGCTGATGGTCACAGGTTGTAACAGGAGCTCTTTGCTACTCCTGAAAACACAATGTGACAGAGTCCTCTGTACTACAGAGAGACAGAATAGTCAGAGTGACCCCATGGCAGGTCCTGGAATCACTATGAGACCACAGAGTCCAAGGAATAGAAGACTCACAAGCAGGGGTGCTCCAAGATGGGGGCCAGTGAGTGTGTTCTTCAGCAGAAAGAGCACAGGCTCTGAAGTCAGGGCGAAAAGGTTTTGAAATCCAGCCTCCTCTGTTACTTTCCTTGGGCAAGTTACCCTGTTGGAATCTCAATTTTCTCATCTGTAAAATGACTCTGATTCCTAATTCACTGGCGAGGACTGAGAGAGATCAAAAAGGGTCAAATGTCTAATAGCGTGCCTGGTACAGAGTAGGAGCTTTACAAAAAACAGCTATTTTAGTAACGACAAGTTGAACATCCCCAATCTGCAAATCCGAAATCCAAAATCTGAAACTGGCTGGGCGTGGTGGCTCATGCCTGTAATCCCAGCACTCTGGGAGGCTGAGGCAGGTGGATCACTTGAGGTCAGGAGTTCGAGACCAGCGTGGCCAACATGGTGATATCACATTTCTACTAAAAATATAAAAATTAGCTGGGCATGGTGGCGCATTCCTGTAATTCCAGATACTCAGGAGGCTGAGGCATGAGAACTGCTCGAACTCAGGAGGTGGCAGTTGCAGTGAGCCAAGATCACACCACTGGACTCCAGCCTGGGCAACAGAATGAGACTCTGTCTCAAAAAAAAAAAAAAAAAAAAAAAAAAAAAAAAATCTGGCCGGGCGCGGTGGCTCAAGCCTGTAATCCCAGCACTTTGGGAGGCCGAGACGGGCGGATCACAAGGTCAGGAGATCTAGACCATCCTGGCTAGCACGGTGAAACCCCGTCTCTACTAAAAAAATACAGAAAACTAGCCGGGCGAGGTGGCGGGTGCCTGTAGTCCCAGCTACTCGGGAGGCTGAGGCAGGAGAATGGAGTGAACCCGGGAGGAGGAGCTTGCAGTGAGCTGAGATCCGGCCACTGCACTCCAGCCTGGGTGACCGAGACTCCGTCTCAAAAAAAAAAAAAAAAATCTGAAAGTTTCTGAGTGCTGACAAGATGCTCAAAGGAGACGCTCACTAGAGCATTTTGGATTTGGGATTAGGGATGCTCAACTGGTTAAGTATCTGCAAATATTCCACAATCTGAAATACTTCTGGTCCCAAGCATTTTGGATAAGAGATACTCAACCTACATGGGCAAACCAATATACCATTTAGGAATGTAGAGAGAACACCTGTCTTGGAGGTAAGGAAAGGCTAAAATTGAACACAGTTTGGCTTCCTTTAATTATCAATCCAGAAATGATTCATTTGCCTCTGAGACCCCTATGAGTTCAGGTTCCAAGGTAATGCCTCTGAATACCTAGAGATCTATAATAGTAATTAATTGTGGTGTGGTGTCTCTAAACTGTTAATCATTTTCAAAGGCCCACTGGAAATCATGTACATTAAGCAGTATAACAGGGCATATCCTAACATCAGTTATTTTTATTTTTTTGAGACGGAGTCTTGCTCTGTCGCCCAGGCTGGGGTGCAGTGGCCGGATCTCAGCTCACTGCAAGCTCCGCCTCCCGGGTTTACGCCATTCTCCTGCCTCAGCCTCCTGAGTAGCTGGGACTACAGGCGCCCGCCACCTCGCCCGGCTAGTTTTTTGTATTTTTTAGTAGAGATGGGGTTTCACCGTGTTAGCCAGGATGGTCTTGATCTCCTGACCTCGTGATCCACCCGTCTCGGCCTCCCAAAGTGGTGGGATTACAGGCTTGAGCCACCGCACCCGGCCAACATCAGTTATTTTTAAAATTCAAAATTAAATCATACCATTAATGTGATAACCCAGATTATCTCAGTTATGTACGTACCATATTGAATTTTATTTACTTTTTTTTGAGATGAAGTCTTGCTCTGTCGCCAGGCTGGAGTGCAGTGGCACGATCTCTGCTCGCTGCAAACTCTGCCTCCCGGGTTCGAGCAATTCTCCTGCCTCAGCCTCCTGAGTAGCTGGGACTACAGGCGCGCACTACATGCCCAGCTAATTTTTGTATTTTTAGTAGAGACAGGGTTTCACCATGTTGGCCAGGATGCTCTCGATCTTTTGACTTCGTGATTTGCCTGCCTCAGCCTCCCAAAGTGCTGGGATTACAGGCATAAGCCACCGTGCCCAGCCTCTTTTACTTATTTTTTGAGACAGGGTCTCACCCAGGCTGGAGTGCACTGTCACGATGTTGGCTCACTGCAACCTCTACCTCCCAGGCTCAAGAGATCCTCCCGCCTCAGCCTCCCAAGAAGCTGGGACTACAGGCATGTGGCACCAAGCCCAACTATTTTTGCATATTTTTTTGGTAGAGATGGAGTCTTGCCATGTTGTCCAGGCTGGTCTTGAACTCCTAGACTCAAGCGATCTGCCCACTTCAGCCTCCTCAAGTGCTCAGATTAAAGGGGTGAGCCACTGCACCAGGCAATGGCTTGCACCAGCCATTGCACCAGATTAAATTTTAAAGGGGAAAAAGATATTTATGAAATGGAAACTAGATAAGAGAAAATCATTCAAAATGTGGAGTATTTGGATTAGGGTGTCAGAGTGTCTAGACTGGTAGGTACAAAAAAATCCCTGATCATTACATTAGAAAAGTATGGAGATGGCATCTCAGATAACTAAATTATCTGACTATTCCTTAAACTACCAGTGTTTTCAACAATGCCACAGGAAAGACTTCATCAACAGCCCAGCTCTGAGAAGTCATACCTTGTGTCAAGCAATCTTGTCTTTTCCCCTGGGTTCTGTCCTGCCAACCCACTGACCCTATTTTCCTTTTTTTTTTTTTTTTTTTTTTGAGACGGGGTCTCGCTCTGTCACCCAGGCTGGAGTGCAGTGGCCGGATCTCAGCTCACTGCAAGCTCCGCCTCCCGGGTTCACGCCATTCTCCTGCCTCAGCCTCCCGAGTAGCTGGGACTACAGGCGCCCGCCACCTCGCCCGGCTAGTTTTTTGTGTTTTTTAGTAGAGACGGGGTTTCACCGGGTTCGCCAGGATGGTCTCGATCTCCTGACCTTGTGATCCGCCCGTCTCGGCCTCCCAAAGTGCTAGGGTTACAGGCTTGAGCCACCGCGCCCGGCCTGACCCTATTTTCTTAACTCCAAATTGGGAATCACCATTCAGCTGGCAGCAAGACAAAATGTCAACTGCAGCTGTCCTGACTACTCTGGGACATAAGTTCACGGCACCTTCTTGACAGCAGCCATCTCTGCGTGCCACACCCCTCATCCCCACCTTGACTTGTCCTTCCCTACCTGACTTCCACTTCCGGCTTGTTGTGTCGTTCCACAACCTGGGAGGAGAAGTTCTCCAGGCAGAGGGCAGCCTGCAATGTGGCCCGCACGGCACTCAGGTAGGGGCGGAGAGTGGCAGTCTATAGGAAATAACACAAAGGGAAGGGAAGATCAAAATCTGTCATGCCAAACCCACTGATCCCCTATTCCAGCTCCCATGAAGCCAGGTAGCACTGAGGGTGCAAGGCTCTTAAGACACCACTGTGAACAGAACAAACTAGGCCTTCGAGACGCCTTCCAAGGTGCAGAGTCATGGTTTTCAACAGGAGGCAATTTTGCCTCCCAAGGTACATTTGGCAATGTCGAGATATTTCATTTCTTTCTTTTTTAACCTGGGGTCACACCAGAGGAATGCTGAGACATTTTCAACTGTCATGACTTGGCGGGGAGGCGAACTGCAGGCACTGAGTGGACAGATATCCAATAAACATACTACAATGCACTACAAAGAATTATTGAGTCTCAAATATCAAAAGTGCTGAGGTTGAGAAAGTGATCTAGAGACATACCAGTGAATGCATGATTGTCTTCAATCTATTAGGCCAACAAATGTATATACTGTTTGCCAGGCACTGAGCTAACTGGGAATTCAAAGATGATTAACACTGTCTCTACCCTCAAACAGCTCAACTGGATAGCAGATATACAGAAAATAACTATGATATAAAGATAAAATGTTGAAATATTTAGATTTACAAGTAATCTATATTTGCAGAAGAAACTGGTTTTGAAAGTGAAATGGGATTAGGAGGATTTTATAATGAGAAAAAGTAGAGTAAGGACATTCTTTTTTTTTTTTTTTTGAGACAGACTCTTGCTCTGTCACCCAGGCTGGACTGCAGTGGCACGATCTCGGCTCACTGCAAGCTCTGCCTCCTGGGTTCATGCCATTCTCCTGCCTCAGCCTCCCAAGTAGCTGGGACTACAGGCGCCCGCCACCACGGCTGGCTAATTTTTGTATTTTTAGTAGAGACAGGGTTTCACATGTTAGCCAGGGTGGTCCTGATCTCCTGACCTTGTGATCCACCAGCCTCAGCCTCCCAAAGTGCTGGGATTACAGGTATGAGCCCCACACTCGGCTAGAATAAGGACATTCTTAGTAGAGGGATTAGCTTCTAGATGTACTGGTCAGTCCTTATATCAGCCAAATTCTTTCCCACCTCAGGGCTTTACACATGCTTGACCATCTATTTGTAGGCTTTTTTCCTCTTTCTTTGCCTAGGTCATCCTCCAGATCTCAGCTTAATTAAGGAAAGCCTCTTAGGCCTTCACTTCCGCCTACAAAGCATTTATTACAATTTACAATAAAATGTCTTTCATATCTTTTTTTTTTTTTTTTTGAGACGGAGTCTCGCTCTGTCACCCAGGCTGGAGTGCAGTGGCCTGATCTCAGCTCACTGCAAGCTCCGCCTCCCGGGTTCACGCCATTCTCCTGCCTCAGCCTCCCGAGTAGCTGGGACTACAGGCGCCCGCCACCTCGCCCGGCTAGTTTTTTTTTGTAGTTTTAGTAGAGATGGGGTTTCACTGTGTTCACCAGGATGGTCTCGATCTCCTGACCTCGTGATCCACCCGTCTGGGCCTCCCAAAGTGCTGGGATTACAGGCTTGAGCCACCGCGCCCGGCCTTTCATATCTTTTTAATTTTTATTTATTTATTTTGAGACAGAGTTTCGCTTCTGTTGCCCAGCCTGGAGTGCAGTGGCGCGATCTCTGCTCACTGCAATCTCCGCCTCCTGGGTTGAAGCCTTTCTCCTGCCTCAGCCTCGCGAGTAGCTGGGATTACAGGTGCACACCACCATGCCCGGCTAATTTTTGTATTTTTAGTAGAGATGGGGTTTCACCATGTTAGCCATGGTTGTCTTCAAATCCTGACCTCAGGCAGTCCGCCCACTTCAGCCTCCCAAAGTGTTGGGATTACAGGCGTGAGCCAATGTGCCTGGCCTTTATTTTTTTTTTATTTTATTTTTGAGACAGAGTCTCACTCTGTTGCCCAGGCTGGAGTGCAGTGGTACAATCTTGGCTCACTGCAACCTCCACCTCCCGGGTTCAAGTGATTTACCTGCCTCAGTCACACAAACAGCTGAGATTACAAGTGTGCAGCACCGTGCCTGGCTAACTTTTGTATTTTTAGTAGAGACGGGGTTTTGCCATGTTGCCCAGGCTGGTTTCAATCTCGTGACCTCAAGTGATCCGCCCATCTCGGCCTCCTAAAATGCTGGGATTACAGGCGTGAACCACTGCACCTGGCCTCCTTCATGCCTTTGTAAAGTGATTTCTCCTTTATTAGGCTGTAAACCTCGTGGTCAACAGACCATATTTATTTTACTCACAGCTATATAGCCTCCAACCTAGCTCAGTACGTAACATGTAGAGTGTCTTACTCATTTCCTGTAGAATAAATGAGCAAAAGAAATAATTAAGGTTAGAGTAACACAAAAGGACAGCAAGAGTTCCAGAGTAGTAATGAGTACAATGTTTCTGTATATGAGAAGCATTTTAGATTCACTAAATGAGGCTGCAGTGGTAGACTGAGGTCAGATCATGGGGAATCTTGAATGCCAGACCAAGTTTAGCTTTTCTCTTAAGGGGGTAAGGAACTACTGGGGCTTTCTGAGGAGGAAGTTCATGACTGCAGCTGCATGGTAGCTCTGTGAAGAATGATTTGGAGAGGGAAGTGAGACATACAGCAGACTGTGTCACCAGCAAAGAGTATCACAAGTGTTGGACTGACATTAGATGGAGTGGATAACGGAACTGAAAAACAACTTCCCAGGGGCTTATGCCTGTAATCCCAGCACTTTGGGAGGCCGAGGTGCAGTTCAAGACCAGCTTGGCTAACATGGCAAAACCCTGTCTCTACTAAAAATACAAAAAAATTAGCCACGACGGGTGCCTGTAATCTCAGCTACTTGGGAGGCTGAAGCAGGAGAACTGCTTGAACCCAGGAGACTGAGGTTGCAGTGAGCCAAGATCTGGCCACTGCACTCCAGCCTGGGCGACAGGGAGAGACTGTGTCTTTAAAAAAAAAAAGAAAAAAACAACTTCCAACGAACTATGGTCCGGTCATTCAATTAAATACTACTTAGCAATAAAAAAGAGTAACTATTGATACACACAACATGGTTGACTCTCACATGTACTATGGTAAGAAGGTACATTTAAAAGCCTGCATACTAAAGCATTCCATTTACATGACAATCTGAAAAAGGCAAAACTATAGGGGTTAAAAAAATCAGTGGTTGTCGGGGGTGGGAAGGAGGAAAGGTGTGATTACAAAAGGGCTCGAGGGAATTTTTTGGGGTGATGGAAATATTCTGTATTTTGGTTGTAGTAGTGGTTACATAACTTGACTTTTTTTTTTTTAAGACACAGGATCTTGCTATATTGTCCAGGCTACAGTGCAGTGGCTATTCACAGGCGTGATCACAGGGTACTACAGCCTCGAACTTCTGGGCTCAAGTGATCCTCCTGCCTAAGCCTCCTGAGCAGATGGTACTACAGGTGCATGCCACCATACCCAGCAAGTTTTTGTCAACACTTTTTTTTTTTTTGAGATGGAGTCTCGCTCTGTCGCTGGAGCGACAGGCTGGAGTGCAGTGGCACGATCTCGGCTCACCGCAAGCTCTGCCTCCTGGGTTCACGCCGTTCTCCTGCCCCTGCCCCTGCCTCCCGAGAAGGTGGGACTACAGGCGTCCACCACCACCCTCCCGGCTAATTTTCTGCATTTTTAGTAGAGAAGGGGTTTCACCGTGTTAGCCAGGATGGTCTGGATGGCCTGACCTCGTGATCCGCCCACCTCGACCTCCCAAAGTGCTGGGATTACAAGCGCGAGCCACCGCGCCCGGCCTTTGGCAATAGTTATAGACAGTAAACCTAAAAAAGGTGACTGGCTCCGTGACGCCTGTCCTTTCATGAATAAAACAGACGTAGTCTCATACAATACCTCAAAAAACTTAAATTTTTAAAAATCAAGACGCATGTGCTCCATTAGAAAAAAAAAATCCAGATTTCTAGCAGGGATACGAGTTCACAAAGTTTGCCAGGATAGGGAACTCAGGAGGAAGAGCAAATTTAGAATGGAAGATGAGTTTTGAACTAGAGGTGTAATTTCAAGGTCTCTTCAAGATACCCAGGCAAACCTTCAAAGAGAGCTGAGAAGCCAGATTAGGAGTCATCAGAGTGAAGAAAGTCATCGAAGCCAGCAGACTAGATCGGTATCACCAGGGAAGGTGTGACGATGAGGGAGGTGGTCATCCAAAGTCACAACTCCCAAGAATACCCACATGTATGAAAAAGGGAGGACTTTCAGGAAGGGAGGGATGAGCAGTATCACAGCTAACAAACACTAGGGCTGACACAGTTCAGTTCTGACCAGGAGGGGCCTGAATGGAAGCAACACGAGAGATCCTCCAGTGGGGTGGAAGCAGGGCTGGAGGTACCAAGAGTGGGATAAGGAAGTGTGGCCGCCTGCCTTAAGCAACTGTAGGGTCAGGAAGGCAGAAGACAAAGGGCGTATTTAGTGAAGCTCTACTGTGGACAGGCAGATGGACCCGCTACATGCCTCAGCGGCCCTTCGACGGGCTAAGAGGCCGACTACGTACCCTCGAAACGCTCCAAAGAGCCTAGGAAGCCCCACTTCCAGCTTCCTCCAGGGCTCAATAAAAGCCCCTACCTGCTTGGAAGGCTGATCACGAAGCCGCAAGGCCCGCTTCAAACCAGGGAGTACCCCTACTCGCCCCTTCCTCACCTCGGGCCCCCGCCCTCTTTCTCCCACCCTCATGGTGTCCCCACAACCCCCGGGCATCCCTCAGCCCCGCGCCCCTGCGGCAAAGCCACATCTCCCACCGACCCACTGCCCTGAGGCTGAACAGCTGGGGGTCCCTGGCCGGGGGCCCGGCTCTCTCACCATCGCGGGCGCTGGCTGGGCCGGAAAGCGGAAGTACGGAAGTGGCCAGCCCCGCGATGCCTGCCCTTTCGCGAGAAGCGCAGCCTCTGTCTCCGCCCGGACTTCCGGATGGTACCATCTATGCTCTGAGCGGGATAGGGAGCCCTTGCGAACGCTTGGCCCTTCCGGAAGTTTTCCACCTAGGGCTGTCTCGGTATCTTTAAACTCTTGCACTCGAGTCACTACTTAAGCTTCTCCAGGAATGGGAGCAGCTCCCCTTTGTGCCTTCGGCCTTCTTGTTACCTTTGCCACAGCCTCCCCCCAGGTATGCAATGGTACAGCCCAGCTTCAGATTGGGCACCAAATTAGGACAAGCTGAAGCGGAGGAGCCCTTCGTTTCTTCCGGTTCTGTGCCCCCATCCTTTCTCTCGCCCCTCCTACCCGCAGCTCCTGGGGCTCAGCGGCGCTAACTGCAGCGCCGAGATCTCCGCCGCCAAGCCCCGCCTCCCGCCCCGGGCTATGCCCTGGGGCGCGCCTGAGGCCAACCACCCGCACCCCACCTCTAGCGGGCTTGCTCGAGGCCCACCTTCTCCCCACCCCCGGCAAACTTCAGTAGGCTCGCCCTCGCTGACTCCCCGCCCCCGCGTCAACTGCAAGGGGCCCGCCCATAGCCAGTTCCGGGGCGGTTGCTCCCGTCGACCGGAACTCCCCGCCCCCTCCCGCGGCCCTGGGGCCGTAGGAGGCCGCAGTGAGGAGGTAGAGGGGGCGGGGGTCGCGCTAGGGTGTCCCTAGAGAACGAGGACTCTGAAGGCGGGACATTTGGACGACCCCCGGGCGGGGCCAGCCATTAAATAGTCCCATTTCTGTGCCAGACACTGAACTGGGCTCTTGACGGGCATCATCTCTTAATCCTCAGAACATCCCAGGGAGGTAGGTACCGTTGTTATCCCCATTTTTCAGATTCAGACTTTTAATGGGGAAACAGACCGAGACTTCTTTTGTTCCCATTTTACAGATGGAAAAACTGAGACTCAAAAAGGTTAAACAACATGTTCAGGGGCACATAAGTAGAGAATGGTAAAGCCTGGACTTGAACCCGGGTCTGTCTGGCTTACCAGCCCACGTTCTAAACCACTATTAGTGACTAGAGAAGGGAGAAAGGTGGAGTAGGATAAGAAAAGAGGCCAAGAGTCCCAGAGAACATGGTAAGAATGGGGTGCTTGGAACTCAAAGTCTTAGCAGAACCCAAGAGAAATAGAAGGGAAGGAAAGAGCATCAGAAAGGCAAGGCAATGCATAGTAATATAGCATGGTGATCAGGGGTGCAGACTCAATATAGCGGGGTTCAAATTGCATCTTGGAAGCATAGGCACATACCCACCCTTACAGAGTCTCAGTTTCTTTCTCTGTAAAGAGATCACAACGGTCCTTGTTCATGGTGCTGAGTGAGAAATTAAGTGAGATAAGCTGATAAAGTGCTTTGCGCCTAGCTTGGTACACAGTTAAGTGCCCTGTGAGTAGGAACTGTGCCATCAATTTTGTCAGTAAGGGACTGAAGCCTGGCTTGCTTGAGACTGTCCCTGGAGGTAAGAAGCCCTTGGGCTTTTCTCAGACCCCTTTGTCTCCCATCAATGGCCCTGTCCTCTCCAGCCCCACAGGATCCCCATATCCTGGGCCATGAGTGAGTTGAAAGACTGCCCCTTGCAGTTCCATGACTTCAAGTCTGTGGATCACCTGAAGGTCTGTCCCCGCTACACGGCAGTGCTGGCGCGATCCGAGGATGATGGCATCGGCATCGAGGAGCTGGACACCCTGCAGCTGGAGCTTGAGACCCTGCTGTCTTCTGCCAGCCGGCGCCTGCGTGTGCTTGAGGCCGAAACCCAGGTGATACCCCAGAGAGGGGCCATCACCAGAGATGGACTGCAACAAGTTATGGGATGGGTCATTGAGTTAGCTCCATATGCTGAAACCTGGGATACAGGGGTTTGTGGGGAGAGGGAGAGAGACCCAAACTGGGTTTGCATGACACAAAAAATACACAAGAATATGCATGATCCTCTTAAATTGCAAGATTTCTAATTCGGTGCACTTTTTTTGGCATCCCCCACCCATCCCCCATTATGTTCTGGGTTCTACGCTAGTCATTAGAGAAAGGTAATTAGGACAGTTTTGGCTGTCAAGGAGCTTGCCAACTAGGAAAGGGAGAAAGTCAGGTGCATACCAGGTGATGTGATGTTGTGGTTAGGAGTCCTAGGGAACTGGAATGGGGAGACCTGGATTTGAATCCTGGCATAAGCACTTGCTAGCATTGCTGTTTCCTAGCTATATGACTTTGAGAAAGTTTTCTCATATCTCCGAGTATCAGTTTCCCTATCTGCAAAGTGGGGTGAATAATAGGACCTACCTTAGTGCTTTTGTGAGGATTAAAAGAGAATTTTTGCAAAAACTCAACCCAGTGCCAGACACTAAGTAAGCACTTCAGGTGTTATTTATTTACTACTCTGATTACTTTATTCACTGCATAAAGATGCCTTCAGCCTTGTGTGCCAGGCGCTATGCTGTATGCTGCAAAATAGAGATAGTTAAGGTATGCTTTCTGGTCTTCAGTAGCTTATGGTCTAGTTGAAGAAACAAGGTGCGATGGTCATTCCAGTGTGACCAAACAGCATGATTGGGTGCACGGTGGAGGTGTGAAGTGCCAGAGACTTGTAGAGGAAGGAGGTGCCAACTGGACCTAAAAGGATGAATGGAATTAACTTGTCCCTGGGAATCCATGGAAGCTCCTTGAGGAAGGTTATGACTCAAGTTGTATTTTAGCATCTAAGAACCTGGGTAACTGATTCAGAGAAGGCATCTCAGTGGTGGTGACATTGAAGTGAAGGTTTGCTGGGAGGACTCTTCTGTTAAACAATATGTGACTGGCATGGGTGATAAAGAAGTGAATCAAAAGCACAGATGAACAAGTGAATGAGAGGATGAGAAGTATATGAATAAAGTCGTAAGAGGCCAGGCACAGAAAATGAGCTGAATTTTGAAGGATGAGTAAGAGTTTACTAGGTAAAAAGAGGATGGGGAAAGACCCAGGAGACTCCTTAGATTCTAGATCCTAATTTATTCACTAGAGGAAAGAAATATTCTTTGTTTTCCCTTCTCTCCCTCAGTGACAATTTCTGTACATTTCAGATCCTCACCGACTGGCAGGATAAAAAAGGTGACCGACGATTCCTGAAGCTGGGTCGAGACCATGAACTTGGAGCTCCCCCGAAACATGGAAAGCCCAAGAAGCAGAAACTGGAAGGGAAGGCGGGACATGGGCCGGGCCCTGGCCCAGGACGGCCCAAATCCAAAAACCTTCAGCCCAAGATCCAGGAATATGAATTCACTGATGACCCTATCGACGTGCCACGGATCCCCAAAAATGATGCCCCCAACAGGTTCTGGGCTAGAGAACATAGAAGGGGGCCTCAAGGTTCTGGTGGTGGAGGCGCTGGTGGGGCAGGGGTACCCACTGAGGATCTGCTTCTCCCTGCAGGTTCTGGGCTTCAGTGGAGCCCTACTGTGCTGACATCACCAGCGAGGAGGTCCGCACACTTGAGGAGCTACTGAAGCCCCCAGAAGATGAGGCTGAGCATTACAAGGTAGAAACTCTGGGCCTTGATAGACATGATGCAGAACAAGAGAGTTCAGAGGTGGCTGAGAATTAAAGCTACCAAAGCCATGCATCATCTTCCTTCCCCCATCCTGCCCAGCCTCCTATCTGCTCCATCAATGTATCCAGACACCCAGGTCCAAACTCAGCTTTCTTTTTTTTTTTTTTTTTTTTTTTGAGACGGAGTCTCGCTCTGTCGCCCAGGCTGGAGTGCAGTGGCCGGATCTCAGCTCACTGCAAGCTCCGCCTCCCGGGTTCACGCCATTCTCCGGCCTCAGCCTCCCGAGTAGCTGGGACTACAGGCGCCCGCCACCTCGCCCGGCTAGTTTTTTGTATTTCTTAATAGAGACGGGGTTTCACCGTGTTAGCCAGGATGGTTTCGATCTCCTGACCTCGTGATCCGCCCGTCTCGGCCTCCCAAAGTGCTGGGATTACAGGCTTGAGCCACCGCGCCCGGCCCAAACTCATCTTTCTTTGTGCGCTGCCTCCCCTCTACCTGAGCCAGATGTCACCATGCCCTCAAGCTTAAGTGAAGTGTGCCCGTGTTCCTTTATCTCTGTCCCTTTGCTTTGGTCCAAGCCTTCATCAGCTTCTATACAAACAGCCCCTTAACTCTGTTCCTGCTTTGAGGCCTCTGGAGGAACCCTTCTTCTTTCTTTAAGATGTAAAGCTTGGGCCAGGTGCAGTGGCTCATGCCTGCAATCCTAGCACTTTGGGAGGCCAGGGCAGGCAGATGGCCTGAGCTCAGAAATTCGAGACCAGCCTGGGCAACATGGTGAAACCCTATCTCTACTAAAATACAAAAAATTAGCCAGGCATGGCGGTGTGCACCTGTAGTCCCAGCTACTTGGGAGGCTGAGTCAGGAGACTTTCTTGGACCTGGGAGGCAGAAGTTGCAGTGAACTGAGATCACGCCACTGCACTCCAGCCTAGGCAACAGAGCAAGACTCTGTCTTTAAAAAAAAAAAAAAAAAAAAAAGTCAGCTCACACCTGTAATCCCAATACTTTGGGAGGCTGTGGCAGGCAGATCACCTGAGGTCAAGAGTTCAAGACCAGCCTGACCAACATGGTGAAACGCTGTGTCTACTAAAAATACAAAAATTAGCCAGGCATGGTGGCGTGCACCTAGAATCCCAGCTACTCAGGAAACTGAACCAGGAAAACCGCCTGAATCGGGGAGTCATAGGTTGCAATGAACCAAGATCGTGCCACTATTCCAGCCTGGGTGACAGAACGAGATTCCATCTCACAAAAAAAAAAAAAAAAAGAAGAAGATACGAAACTATGTTTTAATGATGAAAATAAATAAAACATGCTCCATTAAAGAATATTTAGAAAATACAGAAAAATGTTGAGGGAGAATACTCCCATAGGTCAGCTGTCATCAGATGTGCTCATGACATGGCACTGCATCTAGGCCTCTCTTCATCCCGTTATCTACAGGATCAAGTCCATGCATCCCAGTCCTTGGTGGCACAGCTCCAGTGCCTCTCTCCATTTTCCTCGGCCATACCCCTCTTCATTGCTGTGTTGACCAGTCCCACCAAGTACCTTGCCCTCATTCCAGGACACCACAGCCTCCTTGCTGGTCTCTGGGCGCCTCTGGCAAGCTCTTCTCTCCCTCTTCTCTCCCTGATAGACTTGACTCACCCTCCAAGGCCCTGATCTCATGTTACCTCCACCAAAGCACCCTTTCAGATTCCCCAGCAGAAAGTTAGTCTCTCCTTTGTGCTGCCACAACACTTTGATCTGTCTCTTTCACTTCACTTACCTGACTTTTTAAAAATTTATTTGAAAAAGAGTTCATACAGACAGCAGTTAATTCAAGCAATATAAAAGGTAATTCCCTGTCACCCGTGACCTGAAGGCTCCTAATTCTCTCGAGAGACAATTGATGTGACCTGAGACAATCCGTGTATGTAGAGTATTCTGCACCTTCTATCTTGGGAATTGTTTCAGATTGGCTTCTGTGTGTGTGTCTTAGTCCTTTTCGGACCTGTCTCCTTTACTAGAGGGTGAAGTAGAGGTATCTTCTTTATACTTTCTTACCTATACCTGACACTGGGCTTGGCCTTGGACTAGGGACTTGAGAGAGGGATAAGACAGATAAGTGAATGAATGAATGAATGAAGCATGGCTGGCCAGTGCTTACCCACTCAGGGTTGGGTGCCATCTTTTCCACAGATCCCACCCCTGGGGAAGCACTACTCCCAGCGTTGGGCCCAGGAGGACCTGCTGGAGGAGCAGAAGGATGGGGCCCGGGCAGCAGCCGTGGCTGACAAGAAGAAAGGCCTCATGGGGCCACTGACTGAACTGGACACTAAAGGTAGGCCTCTCACCTCCCTGCCAACCCCAGGTCAGGACTTGAGTTCCAGAACTTCAGCCCACCTGCCCTCCTTTCCTGTGCCCACTTAGATGTGGATGCCCTGCTGAAGAAGTCTGAGGCCCAGCATGAACAGCCGGAAGATGGATGCCCCTTTGGTGCCCTGACGCAGCGCCTCCTGCAGGCCCTGGTGGAGGTGAGCACCCTAATCCAAAACAGGAACCACATTTACTTTGTGTTTTAATGTGTTATATTTATTTTTTATTGGAATATATCATACATTTATTAGGTTGGTACAACAATAATTAGGTTGCTGCAAAAGTAAAAACCTGGACTAACACATAGCAAAAGATTGGGAATAATACATAACTTTTGCACCAACCTAATAGAAAAGTGCACAGATCATAAATGTACAGTTTTCACAAATGAGCTTGTATTAGCAGCCTGGAGATTACAAAATGAAGCATTACTATATCCTAGAAGCCCCTCTCATGCCCCTGTTTTTCTCCAACTTCCCCCAAAGATAGCCTCTACTCCACAATTAACTTTTGCTAAGCATCTGTTGGAGAGGCTTTATACACATCCTCCCACTGGAGGCCAGGACAGTGGTTAACCCTGTGTTACAGATGAGAAGATTAGAGGCTCAGAAAAGGGAACTGTTCACTTGAGGTCTCTCACAGCAGGATTCAAACCCCTACTTCGGGGTCCCTGTCTTTATACCTGCTGGTTGACCTTAGACACACCCTCATACTCTTTCACCTCATTGAGACTCAGTTTTCTTTTCTGGCTCAAACACAATAGTTTCTCTCATGTAACAGTCTGGGTACGTGTTCCAGGTTATCTAAGGTAGGGGAAGGGGCATATCATCAAACAGGAATCCCAGCTGATGGTGGCCTTGCAGTCTGCACAGGGTCACTCTGGGCATAATTGTCACTCCAGTCCCACAGAATAAGAGCAAGGAGGAGTGTGTGAAGGAAACTCTTTGGGCCATGCCTAGCTGTGGCTCTTATTTCTTCTGATCGCTTTCCCCTGGAGAGAATCTGTCACATGACCATACCTGCCTGCAAGGGAGCCTGAGAAATGTAGTGCAGCTGGAGAGGCATTGCCTAGCTGCCATGGAGGAAAGGAGAGTGGCGTTCGGACAGCTAGCACCTCTGCCACAGCAGGCCTAGCACAGTGCCTGGTGCGTTGCAGGCACTTCACAAACCTTGGCTGTTCATTACCATCATTGAGTGTTAATCATTTCTCTTCTGTGTTCCTTTTGTTCCTTTTTCTTCATATCAGTACAAAAATGGATTTCTAGAATGATCAAAGCAATTTGGGATCAGTATGGGAAGGCTTCCCAGAGTAGGTGGGATGGGAAAGATAAAAGGATATTTCTGGTGTTTGAAGACTGTCAGTGTAGGTCAGAAAGGAGCAGGAAAGTGGAACAGCTCTTTTTCCTTCCACCCATTTCTGTGGTCTTCTAGGAAAATATTATTTCCCCTATGGAGGATTCTCCTATTCCTGACATGTCTGGGAAAGAATCAGGGGCTGACGGGGCAAGCACCTCCCCTCGCAATCAGAATAAGCCCTTCAGGTGAGTGGTGTCCTATCCACAACCCACAGTCTGGCGCCCACTTCTGTTGGCTTCTCTCCATCTCAACCTGGGGAGTTCCTCATCAATAAGAGGCTGGGGACAGTTAGGTGAAGCCCAATAGCAGTCTCAAGTGTGAGTGCTGGCCCAATGTGTCTGCATGCACAGACTGAGTGCAGGGTTGTTCAGCACAGAACTGTTCATACCATAAATAAACCAAATGTCCTGCTGAAGGGGAGTGGTTGGCTAAATTGGCATAACTCCATATGATGAAATAACTTGCAACTATTAATCATATAGCTGCAAGTATAGAGAAATATAGGTAAATGACATGAAAAGATATAAATTATAGAGTGCCAAGTGGGGAAAATGTTAATTGTAGGCCAGTACAGATACATATTTTTATAATCTTATTTTTACTTAAAATGTATTTCTTTTCTTTTTTTTTTTTTTTTGCGACAGAGTCTCACTCTTGTCATTTAGGTTGGAGTGCAATGGCGCAATCTTGGCTCACTGCAACCTCCGCCTCCCAGATTCAAGCAATTCTCCTGCCTCAGCCTCCAAGTAGCTGGGATTACAGGCGCCTGCCACCATGCCAGGCTAATTTTTGTATTTTTAGTAGAGACGGGGTTTCACCATGTTGGCCAAGCTGGTCTTGAACTCCTGACCTCAGGTGATCCTCCCACCTCGGCCTTCCAAAGTGCTGGGATTAGACATGAGCCACCATGCCTGGCCTACTTAAAATATATTTAAATACATGCACATAGGGGAAAAAACCTGGACTAATATGTAGTAAAAGATTGGGAATAATATATAACAAAATCTGGAATATATATATAATAACATATAATAAAATAATAATGATTCTCTCTGGGTTGTTGGCATTACAGGTTTTTCCATATTTTTTGGATAGTGGATACATATGTTGCTTGTATTTAAAAACCAGACCAGATGTGTCTGTCCTTCCCTTTGTATCTGGATAGATACAGAGGGGGTGCCCAAAGGGAAAGGCAGGTTTTCACTGAGCTTGGGAAGCCCTGGGAACCTCCAAGGTGGGCCCTCCTCCAAGCTGGCTCTTGAGTCTGACAGGGGCCTGCCTCCCCCTGCAGTGTGCCGCATACTAAGTCCCTGGAGAGCCGCATCAAGGAGGAGCTAATTGCCCAGGGCCTTTTGGAGTCTGAGGACCGCCCAGCAGAGGACTCTGAGGATGAGGTCCTTGCTGAGCTGCGCAAACGGCAGGCGGAGCTGAAGGCACTTAGTGCCCACAACCGCACCAAGAAGCACGACCTGCTGAGGTGAGTGTGAGCAGGATGCACAGTCCCGCGGGTGGCCTTGGAGGCTGTGGCCACAGCTGGTCACCTTCCAGGGGTTTTACAACAGGCTTTCCAAGCCTGGCTGGTCTCTAAATCACCTGGAGAGCCTCGAAACAGCAGTGGCCAGTCCACCGGGTATGTGTCAAACAAATTCTAATTCCACAGAGTGGGGCTCAGGCACCTGTGACTGATTGATCGATTGATTTGATTTGGTTTGATTTTTTAATTGTGATAGAGGCATAATGTAAAATGTATGCCCATGGGAGGCTGAGGCAGGAGAAACGCTTGAACCTGGGAGGCAGAGGTTGCAGTGAGCCAAGACTGAACCATTGCACTCCAGCCTGGGCAACAAAAGTGAAACTGCGTCTCAAAAAAAAAGAAAAGAAAAAAAAATTTACCCTTCTTAACCATTTTTAAGTGTGCAGTTTAGTAGTGTTACCCATATGCACATTGTTGTGTGATTTATTTTTTGTCTTTTCATGCTGCTTTTCTTTTTATCCCCAAAGTTTTTTTATTAAAAATTTCATACATGCAGAAAATCTGAATCATACAATAAACATCAGCATATTCTCCACCTAGACTAATTAACTATTAACATTTTGTTAGAGATCTGTGATTTTTATTTGCTTATCACAAGAAATTGACCAGTGTTTTAGACATGTTCTTTTGGGAATCCATCACAGTGCCTACCATTCATTTGATGTCAACTCCCATCCATCTTGTTCTGCATTGATCACAACAAAGGTATAGGTGACATCTGGAGGAAGACTGTGGAATAGCTACCCTTTAGTTAAAGAGATAGGGAAGCAACCCAAACAAGTCTCTGCTTCTCATAGGCAAGTGCTGTGTCTTAACTTCATAGAGCCCTGACAGGACAGGACATACACATTCATTTGGCCTTTTTTGTTGTTGTTGAGACAATGTCTCACTCTGTTGCCCAGGCAGTGGGTGCAGTGGCACGATCTCGGCTCACTGCAACCTCTGCCTCCCAGGTTCAGGCAATTCTCCTGCCTCAGCCTCCTGAGTAGCTGGGATTACAGGCATGTGCCACCACCATGCCCAGCTAATCATTTGGCCATTCTTATTGTCTCTTAGACATTGTGCTAGGGACCAGCAAGAGAGGCACAGCAAGAGACTTGCAGATTACTAGCAGATGATCAGTAAAGACGAGTGCCATTAAAAGGAGAGGTAGTTGCTGACAAGCTGCCAGGATATTTAAGGATAAGGGTGACTAATATATGCTGCGTGCCTACTGTGTGTCAGGGGCTTTATGTACACTCTCAAGTGTCTTGACAACAACCCAGGAGGGAAGTGCTGTTTTCCTTGTTTACCAGATGAGGAAATAAAGGCCCAGCGAAGCGAAGTGCTCTGCTGAAGGTCACACACTCAATAAACAGCCAAGCTGAGACTTGAGCCCATGGCTGAATCAAAGCCTCTTTCTGTAATAGTTCATGTTTTCTCTGAAAGGTGAGAAGAAGAAAACACAGATGGAAGGGGCACTGAGGGAAGGAGAGGGAGAGAGGAAGAGAGAGAAAAGCAGGCATGTGCGGTTACGGAAGTAATGGGCCTTAGCTGGGCCTGGTGGCTCATGCCTATAATCCCAGCACTTTGGGAAGCTGAGGTGGGAGGCTTGTTTGAGCTCAGGAGTTTGAGACTAGCCTGGGCAATGTAGTGAGACCCCCATCTCTACTAAAAATTTAGAATCAGCCAGGCATGGTGGCACATGCCTATAGTGCTACTCAGGAGGCTGACGTGGGAGGATCACTTGATCCTGGGAGGTGGAGGCTGCAGTGAGCTTGATCAGGCCACTGTACTCCAGCCAGGGTGACAGAGTGAGACCTGTCTCCAAAAAAAAAAAAAAAAAAAAAAAAAAAAAAGAAGTAATGGGCAATGAAGAAATGGCTTGCAGCTCTCAGGAAACCAGAGCACAGCCCTTACCCTGCTGCAGAGCAGCTGCAAGGCCTTAAGCACTCCCTGACCTGAGCAGCAGCTTCCTCTTCTGGAAAACGGGCAGGCTGGACTCAATCACTAAGTGACTTTCCAGCTCCACTATCAATGAAATGTATAAATCAGATTCCTATTCAGAGAGATTGATTTGGTGTTTCACCCACCTCCTGTCAGCCTCAGGCTGCCTAGACCTTAGGGGGCTCTGGAATGTAGATGCTGAAGTAAGCAGGCCTTCTGCTGGCACTGGAACACCTGTTAAAGAACAGTATTTAAAAATAAGAGTTTAGCCCCAGCCTGTTCCAGATCTCCCACTTACTCACTGTGGGATCCTGGGATCATCTTTGAGCCTCATTTTCCTCACGGGTAACATAGGAATAATAGTACATACTTTGCAGGGTTTTTAGGATTAACTGAAAGAGAGAGTGGGTGCGTGTGTGTGTGTGTGTGTGTATATTTTTTTTTTTAAGAGACAGGGTCTTGCTCTGTTGAGGAGGCTGGTCTCAAACTCCTGACCTCTGCTCTGTTGAGGAGGCTGGTCTCAAACTCCTGACCTCAAGCGATCTTCCTGCCTCCACCTCCCAAAGCGCTGGGATTACAGGCACGAGCTACTTCACCCAGCCTACTGTATATATTTTTAAGACTTTTTTTTTTTTTTTTTTTTTTTTTTTTGAGACGGAGTCTCGCTCTGTCGCCCAGGCTGGAGTGCAGTGGCGCGATCTCGGCTCACTGCAAGCTCCGCCTCCCGGGTTCACGCCATTCTCCTGCCTCAGCCTCCCGAGTAGCTGGGACTACAGGCGCCCACAACCGCGCCCGGCTAATTTTTTGTATTTTTAGTAGAGACGGGGTTTCACTGTGGTCTCGATCTCCTGACCTTGTGATCCGCCCACCTCGGCCTCCCAAAGTGCTGGGATTACAGGCGTGAGCCACCGCGCCCGGCCCCCTTTTTTTTTTTTAAAGACACAGTCATGCTGTGTTGCCCAGACTGGAGTGCAGTGGCATGATCATAGCTCACTGTAACCTTGAACTCCTGGCCTCAAGCAATCCTCAGCCCCTTTGGAGTTGGGACTACAGGTGTGTACCACCACACCCAGCTAATTTTTTAGATTTTGTAAAGACAGTCTCACTATGTTCCTCAGACTGGTCTTGAACCCCTGGGCTCAAGTGATCCCCCTGCCTTGGGCTCCCAAAGTGCTGGGACTGCAGATGTGAACCACCATGTGCAGCCAAGACTTTATTCTTTTAGAGCAGTTTTAAGTTCACAACAAAATTGAGAGAAAGGTACAGAGAATTCCCGTATACCCCCTGTCCCCACATGTGCACAGCCTCCCCCATGATCAACATGAGTTAGTATTTTTTTCAGGAGCTTAAAATAGTGCCATATAAGTGCAGGTCAGTAACTGCTTTTTGGTCACGACTGTATGACACAATCCACAAGCATGCCAGCCTGGGCTGGTGGGTAGGCTCAGTCTTGAAGAGGAAGGGGCCGCTCTCTGGAGGTGGGCTGACCATGGCACCTGGCTGGCTGGTCCCCACAGGCTGGCAAAGGAGGAGGTGAGCCGGCAGGAGCTGAGGCAGCGGGTGCGCATGGCTGACAACGAGGTCATGGACGCCTTTCGCAAGATCATGGCTGCCCGGCAGAAGAAGCGGACTCCCACCAAGAAAGAAAAGGACCAGGCCTGGAAGACTCTGAAGGAGCGCGAGAGCATCCTGAAGCTGCTGGATGGGTAGCCCTCACCCCTGCCTCAGGCTGATTATCTGGCCTCAGGGAGGGGAAGGGAGGCCCACTTCCTTCTTTGGGCACAGGAAGCATTGGCCTGTGGCTGTCCCTCAAATGGCGACAGTCTCTAGAGGACCGTGGCCCTTCCCCTGAGGTCTTTTGGCCTAGCTCTGTACAGCCAGGACACAGGAAGCCCTGCTGGGCTGGCCTGAGGCCTAGTCTCTGCTTGGTCCCCAAGATGGGGTTGGAGGGGACTTCGTTTCCTGGTCTTCCTCTTCCCCCTTTACCATCCCCCACTCCCTAACCCCCTGCCCCTGTTTCCCCTTCAAGGACTTCTCCCTTGTGGTTTTGTAAAGTGCAAACTTAAGAATAAAGTGACTGCTGTGGTTTTTCAAAAAAAGCATCCAGTCTTTGAATGTCTGTAACGGTGGGGTAAAGGAACCAGTGTGGGTGGTAAGGTTTGTAGGGGGTATGCTTGGTGGCTCTCAGCCCGTGGCCACTAACCCATGGCATTCAGTCAGGGAGAACTGAGTACCTCTTTCTGAGTACCTCTTTCTGAGGATACTTGTGGCTGCAGGTAAGAATGCCCTCCAGCTCAAAGTGGATTCATAATAAGGAAATGTGTTGGTTGCAGGCTTGGCAGTCCTGGGACAGGGTGGCCTTCATGGTTAGCCAATCTAGCAATTCTTCAGGGTCATTAAGGGTCCAGGTTCCTTAGGGGTCGCTACACTGCCCTCCACAGTGTCAACCTCTGCCTAAGGTGAGTCCTTCTCTGGCTGCAGTGTGGCAGTGGAGCAGTTGAGGCCAGATGTTTCCTCATTTACATCCAGCACAGCAGGGAGCGGGAGCCAGTGGGCTTCCATGGCCCACCTACAGGAGCAAGAAGCCTTTTCCCAGATACCATCATGTTTCAGTGGCCCAAACTCAGTCTCACATACCCATTCCTCAGTCACTGTGGCAAGAGAGACTGTAATGGGTTTATGCCAGAGTGGAGTTTGCTACTCCATCAAGGTGGTGGAGAGAGAGTAAAACCTAACAAGATCTGAGTAGGAAGCGGGGAAGTGAATGCTGGATAGGCCAACAACAACAACCCTTCCACACCTGGGGCAGGAAGCTTGGCCTGAGGGACACAGATGAATTAATATGCTTTGGTACCTGCCTCAAGTTGTTCCAAGACTGGTCTCAGAGAATCAGGGAATAATTTGCAATTTACTGTGGGAAGGTTGAGGTCCACGCAGGGGAGAAGGGAGGGTAAGGGTCCCTAAGGAAGTGACCTATGAACTGAGCCATAAAGAAGGAGGGCGAACATGGCTGAGATTCTCGTACACCCAGCACCTCTCTGTTGGAGAAATGTCCCTTCCCCATCACACATGGCTCTTATCTGACTGCCAAACTAGGGTGGACACATGGCCCCAGCTTGGCCAGTGAAGGGGTGGCCTGCTCCTCCACACCTGTGGGCGTTTCTCATTAGGTGGAACAAGAGACTTGAGAAAAGAAATGAGACACAGAGACAAAGTATAGAGAAAGAAAAAGTGGGCCCAGGGGACCGGCACTCAGCATACAGAAGACCCACGCTGACACCAGTCTCTGAGTTCCCTTAGTATTTATTGATAATTATCTTTACCATCTTAGAAAAAAGGCAAGTAGCAGGATAATAGGATCATCGTAAGGAGAAGGTCGGCAGTAAGACATACGAATAAAGATCTCTGTGACATGAATAAGTTTAAGGAAAAGTGCTGTGCCTTGATATGCATATGCAAACATCTTCATAAACCCTTTTAGTGCATAAAGAGCAGCACCTTCGCCCTAAGGCAGTTTTCTCCTTTCTCAGTAAAGAGAACATACAATCCAGTTTTACACCGAGATGTTCCATTGCCCAGGGACAGGCAGGAGACAGATGCTTTCTCTATCTCAACTGCCAAGAGGCTTCTTTCCTCTTACACTAGTCCTCCTCAGCACAGACCCTTCACGGGTGTCAGGCTGGGGGACGATCAGGTCTTTCCCTTCCCATGAGGCCATATTTCAGACTATCACATGGGGAGAAACCTTGGACAATACCTAGCTTTCCTAGGCAGAGGTCCCTGTGACCTTTGGCAGTACGCGTCCCTGGGTACTTGAGATTAAGAGAATGGTGATGACTTTTAACCAGCAAGCTGCCTTCAGGCACTTGTTTAACAAAGCACACCCTGCACAGCCCAAAATCCTTTAAACCTTGAGTCACCACAGCACATGTCTCTTGCAAGGACAAGGTTGGGGGTAGGGTCACCGATTAACAGCATCTCAAATGCAGAACAAAATGGAGTCTCTTATGTCTACTTCCTTCTATATAGACACAGTAACAGTCTGATCTCTCTTTCTTTTCCCCACAGCCAGTCAAGTGCCAATCCCTCTGGCCACAATGATTAGTCCCAGAAGCAGGCATGTGACCCAAGCTGGGTCACTCGAGGCCCTCCATAATATTGCTCTATGAATGCTGAGAGGAGAGTTTCACTTCTTTTTGGACCATAAGCCACAGATGATAAGCTCAGGCTACCCCAGTGACCTGCGCTCCTCCCATGGGGAAAAACCTGCTTGAGAATAAAGCCAGCTCAGAAAAGCAGAGCCAGGAGAAGGAGAAGCGCTGCATCCAGCTATTCCTGAAGGCACTGGATCCTCCCTTAGACTTCCCACATATATCAGCCCACAAAGACTTCTTCTGGCTTAAACTAGTTTGCTTTAGAGTTTTGTGATTTGTAACTAAAAAAGGCCTAACTCTTACAAGTGAATTTTGGCAAAAAGAAAGATGAAGTAGCATCCTGAGAGAGAGGACAGCATGAGGCCCTGCCTCCCACTAGGTGCTGGGCCAAGCTGCTGCAATTTCTCAGTGACTCATTGTCCCCAGGTTGCTCACAGCCTTCTCAGAGAGAAAAGACACCCACACATGCAATGATGAGAAACCAACTATAATCATAATGATAATGCAATTAAGTGCTCAGTAAATGTTAGTATGTACCAGGCACTGTTTTGAACTCATTCAACTACCTAATATTATGGGGTAGGTATCAGCTACCCCATAATAACATCCCATTCACAGATGAGGAAACTGAGCCTTAGGAGGTTACACACCTTGCTTTGTCAAGCAATTGAGTGGTTGAGCCAACATTCAAACTCAGGCCATTTGGCTTGCAGAGAGAGCCTCTTCATTACAACTCACTGGGGCCCCACTCCCATTACAGTGTATGTGAACGGTACTCCCTATACTTGGCCAGTGCCCAACCTATGCAGCCATACACGGCAGCTCTGCTCGAAGACCCCCTCCTCTTAACCACTCAATTCCATGTTCACTGGGCCACACCATAAGTATGGTGGGCGTTGTTGGTAGAGAGTTCCAAGAACAGAGACAGTTTTGCGGAGGAGGTGGGATGAGAGCTGACGTCCTAAAATTGGATAGAATTGTGAAAGAAGGAAGACAGATATAAATGGAAGAACCCTAGAAGACCGACTGGGCCTAGTTCACCAGAGAAGAAACTTAACTTTCAAGGATCAGTCATGAGCACTCTAGCTGTTCTCTGCTGCATACCTACCATCTGCCTGGCACTGTGCCAGGCCCTTTACCCACCCCTCCCATCTGATGCTTACCACGCACCTCCAAGGAGAGTAATATTCCAGCCTGCAGATGACACAGAAGCTCAAAGAGATGCTGTGCCTTACTGAGGCCATGCAGCCTTGATGTAGGAATAGTTGCTGCCCCCAGGTAGCACCATCCCTGGCAAAGTTCTTACAATCATATCAGAGTGTCTGCTGGAGCCAAAAGATGCCTCCTTTATGAGTGTGGAGGAAGCTGGATTGTCATGACGAGGGCAGATTAGTTCCAGTACCTCAAATCTCCAAATTTAACTCAAAACAATTCTGATTCCTTATCACCAGTTTGGAGGCAAAGCCTTTTGTGTCTTGGCCCTAGAAAGCATCTGTCTTGCACAACATGACCTCCCCAGAGTCCCAAATGCCTTACAGCTGACTTTCAGCAACACCAGGGTGAGTGCGAATGGGGAGGGTAGGCTCTGACCCACAGTGGGTCCCCAGCCCCTGTCTGCTCCTGAGTACTCTAGGCACTGAGTGCTCTGGGTCCCAATTGGCCCCTGCTGAAAAGAAAGTGATGACAGGAACTTTGTGGAAATGTGGTCAGGGAATACATTTCTTTCTTGGCCTCTAGCTCAGGACTCAATGGAAAGAACCAAGCCCAGTAGACTGTAACTCACTCGCTTAGGTATCAATAAACTCCCCATTTCTTCACTTACCTAATTACTCCATTCACTTATTCACTCATCCACACACCTCCACTTCCTCATTATACTTTTGTTCCGTCACTCAGTGACCCTGTCGCCATGGCTGAGAGCTATGGAGGTGACTAAGGCTCCAGAGATGGGGACACAGCTAGACAGACAATCAAAACACTAGGCCGCAAGAGCAATAAGAAGACTGTGTAGGCTGGGCGCGGTGGCTCACACCTGTAATCCCAGCACTTTGGGAGGTCAAGGTGGGCGGATCACGAGGTCAGGAGATTGAGACCATCCTGGCTAACACAGTGAAACCCCTTCTCTACTAAAAATACAAAAAATTAACTGGGCGTGGTGGCAGGCACATTTAGTCCCAACTACTCAGGAGGCAGAGGCAGGATAATGGTGTGAACCCGGGAGGCGGAGCTTGCAGTGAGCCAAGATCGCGCCACTGCACTCCAGCCTGGGGGACAGAGCGAGACCCCATCTCAAAAAAAAAAAAAAAAAAAAAAAAAAAAAAAGAGACTGTGCAAAGTTGGCAGGGACCTGGGGCACAGAAAGACTTAACAACAGCTTAGAGGGTCAGGAAAGGCTTCAGGGAGGATGTGGAAAGAAAATTGCTGGGCAGAAGATAACATTCCAGACAAAAGGAGCAAGGCACAGAGGTGTGAACAGCTGGCCTGCTTAGAGAGAAGTGAGAACTGCAGTGTGACTGGAGCCCTGGGTGTGTGGAGGGGGAAGGAAAGGATAAGAGATGAAGCTAGAAAGTAGGTTGAAGACCAGGCTGGGCAAGGGTTTGAATGGCAGCTTAAGGAGCACGGACTTTATTCTCCAGGACAATGGTGCTCCAAGTGTGGTCCCTGGACTGGCAGCAACAGCATCAGCTGGGAACTTGATAAAAATGCAAATTCTCGGGCCACAGACCTACTGAATCAACAGCTCTGGGTGTATAGTCTGGCACCGTGGCTCACACCTGTAATCCCAGCACTTTGGGAGGCCAAGGAGGACAGATCATCTGAGGTCAGGAGTTCAAGACCAGCCTGGCCAGTATGGTGAAACCCTGTCTCTACTAAAAATACAAAACTTAGCCAGGCATGGTGGCATGCACCTGTAATCCCAGCTACTTGGG